CCCCTGTTGGCCGTATTGGCCTGACCACTAAGCTTGGGAATGCTTATGATGGCAGCTCCCGAACCGTTCCGAACCGTTCCGAACCGTTCCGAACCGTTCCTGAGGTTGGATCTATAGTCGGCCTAGATGGAACGGTTCGGAACGGTTCGGAACGGTTCGGAACGGTTCGGGAGCTGCCATCATAAGCATTCCCAAGCTTAGTGGTCAGGCCCGGCCAGGCCAATACGGCCAACAGGGGCCAACCTCAGGAACGGTTCGGAACGGTTCGGAACGGTTCGGAACGGTTCGGGAGCTGCCATCACAAGCATTCCCAAGCTTAGTGGTCAGGGCAATAGGGCCCAACCTCAAGAACAGTTCGGAACGGTTCGGAACGGTTCGGAACGGTTCGGAACGGTTCGGGAGCTGCCATCATAAGCATTCCCAAGCTTAGTGGTCAGGCCAACACGGCCAACAGGGGCCAACCTCAGGAACGGTTCGGAACGGTTCGGAACGGTTCGGAACGGTTCGGAACGGTTCGGGAGCTGCCATCATAAGCATTCCCAAGCTTAGTGGTCAGGCCAGTAGGGCCCGACCTCAAGAACGGTTCGGAACGGTTCGGAACGGTTCGGAACGGTTCGGAACGGTTCGGGAGCTGCCATCATAAGCATTCCCAAGCTTAGTGGTCAGGCCAATACGGCCAACAGGGGCCAACCTCAGGAACTGTTCGGAACGGTTCGGAACGGTTCGGAACGGTTCGGAACGGTTCGGGAGCTGCCATAGTGGGCATTCCCAAGCTTAGTGGTCAAGCCAACTGGCCTAGCTGGCTGGCTGGCTGGCTGGCTGGCTGGCTGGCTGGCTGGCTGCTGGCTGGCTGGCTGGCTGGCTGGCTGGCTGGCTGGCTGGCTGGCTGCTGGCTGGCTGGCTGGCTGGCGGCCGGCTGGCCGGCTGGCCTGGCTGGCTGGCTGGCTGGCTGGCTGGTGTGGGTGGCTGGCTGGCTGGCTGGCTTGGCTGGCTGGCTGGCTGGCTGGCTGGTGGCTGGCTGGCTGGCTGGCCGGCTGGCCGGCTGGCCGGCTGGCCTGGCTGGCTGGCTGGCTGGCTGGCTGGCTGGCTGGCTGGGCTGGCTGGCTGGCTGGCTGGCTGGCTGCTGGCTGGCTGCTGGCTGCTGGCTGCTGGCTGGCTGGCTGGATGGTTGGCTGGCTTGGCTGGGAAGTGGGGAGGGGAGGGGGTTGGGGGTGGCACACGGTTGGCAGAGCAGGGGGTTGGCCCCCATTGACACAGCCAGCCAGCCAGCCAGCCAGCCAGCCAGCCAGCCACTTTGTGATGCCAATGATGCCAATACCCATACCATGCCCTACCCGTACGTCTGTGGGTGGGTGACAAAATCTGGACTGACTTCTCTGGAGAAAAAAAGGTTCGGGTTGAGGTCCAGGTTCTGGTTTAGGACAGGATTTAATGTGTTGGCATGTTTGCATGTGACAGGTGGCAGCGAGCTGACGTACGTAATATATTAATATAATTCATCGTCAGAAACTTAACCATAGTATCATAGTCTCATAGACTCATAGACTCACAGTAGTATATACTATCAACGCAGTATTGAAAAACACAGTAAGTGTATACTGTATAATGTATAATGTATATTTTGTAATAATATAATATTATATAATATAACATAATTAATTTAATTTATTTTAATTTATCGATATTGATATTGCTACACATTATTTGTGTTCTCTTAGTACTTAGTACTAAGTACAGTCTAAACAGAACTATATTATTATATGATATTATATTATATTATATTGTATTATATTCATTTGACTCAGATGTATTATAATTACTCTATATATAGACACACATCTACTGATCATCTACTTATATAAATTGAGCATCTAAATAATATCATATAATTCATATAATATAATCATATAATTTAGTAGTGTAAATTATAAATATTATATAATGTACATACAAACAATACAGACGTAAATCATATATTCAAAATAAAATAACTAACTAATTTAGTTACTTAATATGTTTTATATTTAAATTAAATGAATTATAATAAACTCCTGACTCTGACGTTGATTCTGACTATGACTGCTACGTCGCCTCATATGGTAACTGTACTAATACCCGGACCGCAGGGGAGTGGTACAATAGGGCTTTGACAGGTTTCCTTTGGTTTGGGAAACCCGAGATATGAGGTCAGTGAGAGCTAGTAGTCGCAGAACTTGGGAAATGAAACTTGTGAATACAGCCAAGACAACTGTGAATACACTAGAGACTAGAGTCAGCAGAGCAGGCTGTTTGCTAGTTTGAATGTTGTACATTACATTACAATGACTCATGGCCTCATGGACCATGGCAATATCGACGAGTACCGAAATAGCTTGCGCAGGTGATGTGCATTCGATGCTGAGTAAACATGCACAACACTCACATCCCGAAACTGTCCGCTGACTGTCGAGTCTAGCCTAGCCTAGCCTAGCCTATAGCCTAGCCTAGCTGTGTGCGTCCAAGTGCAAGGGAAGAGGATCCCCTTCGGACACATCCGCACCATAAAGTTGCGCGGCATCCTGCACGGAATTTGCTGACCGACAGAATGCGAGTTTGAGTAGGTGACATGCACAGAATGCCAAGCTTCATGCATCCGACCTGCTGATTGACCTCCCAGTCGTGACTGCTCCCGTCCACATAATCGAAAAGGTCTGTGACTTTGGAGTCACCCAAAGCCGTCCGGAACTTCTCAAGAATCATGCTCACCTGCTCCTTAACTTATGTAGCCTGCAATGCATGCAGCACACCCTTGCCCTTGACAGACCTGAACAATGACAATGACTCAAACTCCGGGTGACTCAGACTCTCAATGACCGCCGAAGCAGCATCAAACGAGAGCACCCCTTGCACAACACATATTGATCACTGATCACTGATTCACTGATCACTGATAGCTTGATAACTCATCATCACCGAGTTCTGATAACTTATGATAGCTCTGACAAGTGATAAACTCACACACTGAGTCTCATGGTCACGCACATTGTCAGTCGTCATGTGATAACGATACAATGATCAATGATAATGGCAAGTCTTGAGGCAAGTCACGTGAGCCAGCGGGGCCCGTTCAAGGAGGTCGTCACGAATCATCAAGATGTAGATGCGGCGTCTCAATTGCGGGAGGCCGTAGTCGCTGGACCTAGCGGTTCCACAGGGACATACTCTATATCAATATCTCTGTGTTTCCAGATATTAGTTGTTACTTTCCTCTCAGGCCGCGCACTGCTTGCCAAGTCCAACAGCACATCAGGGAATCCGAATCTGCATAGCTGCGCTGCATATCACAAAGCCACAAAACCCACAGACACAGACTGTGAATGTGACTTGACTTGACATGACTATTTTTCTGGACTGAAACACTGAGACCGAAACTATGACTATGACTCGACTCTAACTCACGGAGACCTTTACTTTGAATATGACACAGGACTGGACCAGGACCATGACTATGGACTATGACTATGACCTATGACTATGACTATGACTCAATGACTCTATGACTAATGACTCTGACTATCTCTATGTCAATGTCTATGAGTCTATGATGATACTATGATCATATCATGACTCATGACTCATGACTCATGACTCAATTATGATACGACTGTCTAGAAACAACTGTGGAGACTTGGTGCTACTGCGTTTATACCGGTGTGCAACCCACATGTCGGAACTGCTGGCAAGGCACTTCAAACAATGAACCTTGACCTGATACCCTCCGATTCGGTCCAGACCCAAAATCTCCTCCAGCCCGTTCTCGTGCACGAGGGTTCCGCGGAGCATGTAGTCCAAAGGGGTCTGCAGCAGGTGGGTGGGAAGCAAATCAACCGAATCAAGCTACGAGCAATTGCAGCAGCTGTCACAAGGCAAGTGCGATCGGGGCGATCGGTGTTTGGCTATATTTTCGCCACTCTCAGTATCCAATGCTGCCCATGCTCCTGTGGCAAACAGGACGCTCCACACTCTGAGCTCTAGGCTCTGAGAGACTTGCAACGTCCTAATTACATGCAGTGCTGCAACTCTGAGCGCGCCTACAAAGGGGTCTAGACGGTCTAGGCGGTCTAGGGTGATAGTAGGGCCCTGCATAAAGAGCTTAGCAGCGCGTTTAGTATCAGTAAAGCAGAGTTTGGTCGGTTTGGGATTAAGCTTTTTTTCCTGGGGTCGTTTTAAAATGTGACTCAACCGTTGGGTTTATGAATTTATGACTCATGACTCATGACTGCGTACCCAGACATCAACTGAGGCGGAACTCGGCAGAACAATGACTCCATGATCCCACGACGACTGTGACTATGACTATTGCCAATTGCCTATTGCTGTTACTTTCATCATCACTACTATCTTAATTACTATTACTACTGATTACTACTATTAATCTATTAACTAATTAACTATAATAGACTATTACCTATTGCGCAAATCAAGTCTGCAAACTGTTACTACTACTGTACTGACTACTGTATTGTATTACTACTGGACTGTAACACTGTAGGATTGTAACTACTGTACTACGAGACTAGCAATTTTACGACTGATTGTTGCCATTATCTATCACTGTTACTGTTACTATAACCCGGACGTGTTGCTGCAGTAGACACGAAGTGACCCCTTTGCAAACGGCTCAGCAGGTCCTGCTTCTGTGCTCGCGCACAAAGGAAACTGCCGGGGTACACTGACCCACCCGGCCCAGCCGCACGATGCAAATGAAGTCTGAAGACCAGAGACCAGACCAGACTGGACTAGAGTACTAGACTAGAGCTGAAACTCAGAAGATTACTTGATTGTCATTGGAATTGCATCCTGAATCATGAATCATACACAGAAAATATGCAGCAGGCACGTCGTATACACAAAGAATACAAAATTAGTCTCCATAGCTATACTAACTAGTCCATGAAAGATTGTGTTACTACTACAGATTGTCTCACAAGCAACATTGTAGATTGTAACACCGTGCCTGTCTACGCGGCTGGTTCAAGATCTCTCAAACTACGGAGAGCATCTTGACAAATGCCTTGCTCTGCTCTTGTCAAAGAGCCTTTGATCACATGCTGCTCCAAGAATCGAATTGAATTCGAAACATACTCTTCGCGCAGTTGCGCGAGACAGTGCAGATGAACCGAACGATGGGGTTTGCTTCTGCTGTATGCCACTCCAAAGCGGTACTCGCCTTTCTCAATATGATCATCACAGTGAAAACACTTCACTCCCTTGCGTTTCACAATTGCAAGGTCGCAAATGCCAAGCTCTTTCTGAAAAAATGTGCTCTGAGAACTAGCAGGTACTTCTGAAGAAGAAGCAGCGGCCGATGCAGGTGCTGGCGGTGCATTGGAGGAGCTTGCAGGCTCCGACACAGGTGCATCCGCTAGCGTCTCCTCATCCTCTCCCAAAGCAGCTAAGTCAGCGGCGAGTGCCCGATCCAATTCTTCCTGTGCTTCTGGGCTGAGCACCGTTGGCCAAGCTTCCTCGGGATCCGCCTGTGACTGCAGCTTCTTTTTTTTCACCGACGAACCACACTGCTGATCATCATCAGTCTCCTGCGGTTTCCTCACTCTTTTCTTGGGTTCCACCAATGATGACATACCAAACGGTAACTTAGACGGAGTGGATCTGTGCACAACTGCTGCATGCCCTGCCCGCTCCAAGCCGATAGGAAAGTTCGCCACCGGGGTGGAAGGAAGCTCGATGCTTTCATCGCGGATCACGAGATCACTGTAGATCTGAACCTGTTGTAAGTAGTAGTAGCAGTAGTAGTAGCAGCAGCAGCGGTGGTAGTAGTAGTAGTAGTAGTCGTCGTCGTAATAGTAGCTAGTACTAGCAATGTCGTTGATGCGGCTGCCGGTAATGCTAGTAACTAGTAATTCACATTCAGATGACTCATGACTCCCCTAGATTCAGGTATCCAGTTCGAACTAATAATATTATTAATTATAATAATTAATAATAGTAATAATAATAATAATAATAATAATATTCCATAGGCCTTGCTACTTCCTACGTGCAAGAATGAAATATGTAGACTGTCGACTAGTTTTAATGATAAGTTATAACTATAATATATTTAAAAAAATATTTATATAAGTAAGTAAGTAAGTATATAATTACAATTGAAATTTATATAACTATATAATTTATAGGTTTATATAAATTTATACATATATATTATATATATATATATATTCATATGTATAAATATAATATATAATTACCTGGACCATATCTTGGACAATCTCAGCATGAGTCAGCATGAGCTTCACTGCAACCGTCACTGGCCCTCAATGCTACTGTTACTGCTACTGCTACTGCTGCTATCCCGCCTAAATCGCCTAAATGGTTAAACAATTAAGTTAAAGTCACTAGCGTCTTGCCGGCTACAATTCGTTCACAACTGGCGTCGCCAGCGTGAACTACCCAAAGTTCCAAAGCGATCCGAAACATTGACAAGCCACTCGGGCTTCAAACTCGGGCGCGGAACCACCACTCGAGCAGAACCTTGCGAGGAGAGCGCGAAGCGTTTGATGAAGCGAGCCCACTTGTAACGCACCGTTGCACAAGGAAAAGCTCAAATCATTGCCAGAGCGAAACAATGATATCACAGTATGACAAAGAGGACGCTTGCACACACCTGCCATCGCGAGCCAATGTTCCTCCCCAGTGTCCTCCACCTTCAACTGGACAAGCAGAGGGCTGCCGCCCAAATTCCCGAGTCCCGCATCGAACTGGGCCACCAGAGCCACATACTCTTCATGGTGCTGATCCTTGATACAGGTCCCAGCATGGGTGGTAGCACAGGGACGCATGAAGCTCGGTGTGCTTGTCGGATTCCCCAGAACCTCCGGGTCATAAGCGAAAAGCTTGTCATACTCGGCACGCATAGCATCCATATCTCGCTGGTCGGATGGAATCGTCACAAGGGAGCCGCGAATTGCTGCATTGTGATCCCAAATGCCCAATTCCTGCCGCCAGCAGTTGTGAGCAGATACTTGTTGCAGCGTGCCATCCAGCCGGGCTCCATTCAATCTCTTGATTTGAGATTCCCGCAGTCCAGTGCCGATCGCCGCGGCTTCGGCCGTAGAAGTCTGATGCTGCAGGGATTGCGTTCTGAGCCGGTTTCTCTCCTCCTGGATTTTGTTTGCTTTCAGTTGATACTCCTGCTTCCTTTGTGGCGAAATGTTTGCCCACTCCTGCGACAGCATCTGGGTGAGCTGCCGGTGCTCTAGGCTGCCAACTTTGACATGGTTGCAACGAGACCTCAATCGAGAATTCAGAATCCAGAACCCATCAATGAATCAATATGCAGTAAAGTCCCGCAGCTTAGCTACGAACCTAAGTTAGCTAACCTGAGTAACCAAGTAAACCAACTGACCTAATAAAAACTAATTAATGACTAGTAAAAACTAATAATGACTATACTGATACTGTAACTTATACTGTTATACTGATTACTACTACTACTAATCAATAGTCATTTATCCATTACTGATAACTTAATTAATCTAACTTGACCCAACGAACTTACCCATTTTGCCCACAAAACTTTGACCACAAATGGACCATACAGACCATAAAGTATAAATAACCAGGAATAGTAATACTATTTATAGACTATGACTGTAGACTATAGACACATGGGACCATGGACCGTGGAGCCTAATCAGCATGAATAATTAGACCATAAATAGAAAATAAAGTCAACCCACCGTGGAAGCCACCAGCAGCTGTTCCAATGCTGCTGCTTAGCCGACAATGAGTCAATGAATGACAATGGAAGACTCATTCGGGCAAGACGCCGGCACTCCTGCTGAAACACGTTGTAGGCGCTCACGTGCCTCGTTTTCGTTTTCGCATCCTTGCGAACTCTTCCTTCACGAACTGACCTGTGTAGAGGCGCGAGCATTGGCAGAAACCGGACAATTAATGTAACCAGACCAGAACAGTAGCAAAGAGTACTGTAACTACTGTACTAGTAGTACAGCTACAGTACTGTTACAGTGTAAGTACACAGTGTAAGCAGTGTAAGTGTAAGTGTAAGTGACTGTAAGTGTGTGTAAGATAAAGGGCCATGGCAACCATGGGCAATGGCAATGGTGAAGTGATAAACTACAGTCAGTAGAGTAGAAACCAAGCAGTAGGACAAGAGATAAGAGATCACACAGCCAAACGAATCGAATGGGGCCCGGACAAAAGCCCCTTGAGCAATCCATTTCTGCCCTTGACCGTGCCCTCATCTGTGATCTTGGCCTTGCGTTTCTGCGTCAACCCGAGAAAGGGTGCAGCAGCACAGCGAGATTTCATGGTACGGCGTATCCGTGCTTTGGCCACACCAAACTTCTCGCTCTCGAGGCAACTACGGACCTTCTTATGCGCCAGAAACGCGGTGGTCACATAAGAGTTTGCCTGCACGCCACCCGCACGCTGAGGAATTCTCTTGTTCGCAGCACTATCTGTCTGGATATTCGCATGCTGTCTCTCCACTTGAACAGATGTTGACGGAATGGCAACGACAATGTCTTCCAGGATTATCTTCAATCGTTGCATGCGCTTCTGCCGCACGGTCGCAGAAACTCCATCAGCAAGGACCCAGGCCAGCAAAACCTGCAACCGCTTACACAGATCTTAAATCAATCAGATCAAGAACCATGAACCATATCAAGTTTGAGTCGTTTGAGTTACACAAGTTCTAGGTGTTACCGTGTTACCGTTCTACAGTTATGGAGTTATGGACCTGGAGTTTTACAGTATAGACAGTGAGACACAGTATATAATACAACTCTACAACAGAGTCACAGAGTATATGAAGTCCCGAAGCCTATCCCGGCCAATCCCCAATTCGCTCAGCTGCCTCCGCGAACATGGGATCGGAGCAACGTGGGCAGCCACAGTGCTGCCGCTGCAAAGACACTGCAAAATCCAGGGCACCGTCTACATCCATCCGGGTCACCAGCAAAAGTTGCCAGGGTAAGCAAGTGTACGGTAACACTAGTCGCCTCCATGCCTCACAAACCCCAATCAGTAAGAGTGGGAGGGAATCGTTCTTGCTTACTCCGAGGTCTGCAAACCAGTTGTTTGCTGTTGCCGGGGACCGAAGCAACTGCCAATACTCGGCGATAGCAGTCTTTCCTGCTCCGCCTGTCAAAATATTCAAGTTCATTTCCACAACCTCGGCACGTGATGATGGGCATTTGCTTCCAGGCAGTTCCAACCCAATTGATTTCAACCTCAGCCTGTTTTGGGCCGTCTCCGTGTACGAAACCTGATCCATGAAATTAGTCAATGGCCTCGCAACCACAAGTGCTTTTGCAAACAAGACCTGAGCGGCACACGTAACTCTGCGATACTGCTGCAACCACGATAACGACGATAACTTAACTTAACTGACTATGACTATAACTATAACTATGACTATGACTAAAACTGACTATGACTATAACTAGAACTATAACTTACTTTAACACCCACCCCCCGAAAACCTAGTAAAAACCGAATCCTAACTACTAACTACTACTAACTACTACTAATAACTAACTAACCACCCAAAAAACTATTAACTAACTTAGACACACTGACACCGTGAAAAAGTTTTAGACTCTTCGGGCAACAGAGGAATCGGGGTCTGCAAGAAGCTGCTGGACCTTGGACATGCGGACCTGCTGCTTGAATGCTGGATTGCTGTCAGGAGCATCTTCGTCAATTATATCCTCCAAAGTCATGTCTCCCGCATCTGTGCGGCAAAACCGCCACAAGGACAGAAACAATCCGTGGATGCCCACCCCTCGCGCTGCGAACTCGGCTGCTGGTTCGAATCCTTTCCAACGATACAGCAACGGAACCTCGAAGCCACCCCCAAAGGCTGCCCGCAGAGCAGAAGTCATGCGTCGTTCGAAGTCTGCATCGGATGCACAGCAATCTGCCGTGCATACATGAACCAGGCCCTCATCTGCAGGCTCTGCCCAATCTGCATTCAGCATCGACAAGATCAGATCCACTTCCTCCTCGTCTAGGAATGTTGAGAAAAGCTTCAGTTTCCTTTTATTTCTCGCCACAGCATCCCGTGTCGTCTGGGGTAGGGTAAAAGCCTGGATCCGCTGTGCAGACTTGGCAAGCGATGCAATACCAGTCTCCAGACGCTGACGAAAAAGACTCGTGCTGGATGCGTGTGCCATACGAACCAGACCTGCGGAACAACAAATCAACAGTGGCTGTCGTCTAGTCTACAGTCTACATAGTAAAGACTCTAGACTAGTTAATTAGATAGTTAGCTGGTAGTCAGTAGTGAGTAGTGATTTAACGTGTCAATTCAATGTCAATGAATTATTATTGTCGAACTTAGCAGTGGAAAAAATGATTTGAAATGTTTGACGCGATCTACAGTTATATCTACGGGCCTGCAGCAACTCCCGGAAGCCGCAATATGATAGGTTTCTTTGCGAGACTACCTTGATGGTGAGCGCAGAATTGGTGCAGCACAACGGTCTTGGCATTGCCATCTTCAGATTCAGACCGTTGGCTCAGCCACAGCTGTTGTTCCATCGCACTCAAGAGGACGTTCGTAGGAAGCGCGTCAGTACCTAGTGATGTTGGCGAGTCACTGACACTGAAACTGAAATTCAGAAAACTATACAGTCTGTACTGTACTATCAAGTACTATCTTAAAGATCTAATGCTTCTCGTTCACGCAAGTTACAATTTATCACCACCTTCATTGGAATCTTCGCAAGCAGACCGTCTAAAGCTTCACCGCCCAAGAAGTCTGATGTGCCCTGGCAAGAGCAAAGCGTCCAACGCGCAACCCTGTCCATCAGGGTGGCAGCATTCGCCTGAGCCGGGAACCGAAACCCCGTAGCCCTAAAGCCCAAATCACTGACCACCTAGTCACCTACCGAAACCACTTAGACCGAGACAACATAGACCTAAACCGCCTAAATAGCCTAAATCCTCAAGCCATCTAATATGTTCATTCCACGTAGTAGTCAATCACTCATTCCGAATTTCAGAATTCAGAAAAATTCAGGATCACTCAGGATCCATATTTATTTAGATTACTTATATAACTTATATACTTATACTTATATAAGAACTTATATATATATATATACTTTTATAATATAAATTATAATATAATTATAATTATTATTGATTACTAATTCTTAACTATTCTTAAAGATCTAGGGTCCCCAATTCAACCGCAAGAATTGACAGCATCATCCAATCATCCGAATCACCCCGGTGTCCTAAGCTCTCCACACTCAAGCCGCCACGCCACCAAGACCCGAAACCCCGAGGCTAAGCGTGTACAAACCCGGCCTTTGGCAGCACCTGCGACGGAGAATGAACTTGCGCCCACTCCAGCTCTCCACCAACATACCCTGAAATTCTTCGAAGGCAGAAATGCTGAATCATTCCCATAAGCTGGCTCACTCTGCGATGCCCCAACCGCCCACGCTTCTCAGCTTCATTTGGGCCTGCTCCTGGTGCAACCATAATATTGGTATCGTCAAACTGCCTGATAAATATGCAGTGTCCAATGGGTGATCTGGCAAAAAAAGCCAGAAGCCCTGCAGCTTGTGCCCTCACATGCGAAACCAGCCCTATGACGCGCATTCTGGTAACTGTCGAATCTTTTCGACAGGATGCTGCATAGTGGCAAAGCTCACCCTCCTCGTTCAGAAATTGCAAGTCCTCTTGCCTGAGCCAGTGTTGCATTCGTGGGGGGGAATTTCATACATCATACAGCTTGATCAAAAATTCAAAATCACAAGTAGTAGTAGTAGTAGTAGTAGTAGCAGTAGTAGTAGTAGTAGCAGCAGTAGTAGTAGTAGTAGTAGTAGTAGTAGTAGTCGCAATAATTAATAATAAGTATCAAGTAATAAGTAATAGTAATAAGTAATAAGTAAGTGTAACCAGAATAGATAATTTCAGTCCTAGTCCTAGTCCTAGCTCTATAAGACCAGGCACACCTTCCGAAGTGCCGCTGAGTTCTGAGCCCGGGCCGTGTCGCTGAACACCACGCTAGCAAGCTGATGACCCTGCAAACTCGCCGATGCTTTCACCCTTGCAGCCTCCTCCCTAACCTGCTTCGCAGCCATCCCCGCCGCAACAGCCAGGCCATGCGTTTTCCCCTTGGACCGCCACACCTGTCGCACAGTTTCCTCCCGCGCTGGATTCTGCATTTGCTCCACAACCGGGGCCCTTTGCTTGCCTTTGGCTTCGAATAGACGCCACATGTTCGATGGGTCACGGATCCCTTCCGAAGAACAAGACAGTCTTACTTACTTACTTACTGCTTACCTCTTACTACTAACTAGTTCAACTAGTTCAGACTAGTTCCGAGTTTTGTAAAAGTTGTGGAGATTGGGCCGGGTTTTCCAGCACCGGCATTGGCAAAGGGTTTAAAGGGTAGTTAGGCTGTTAAGTTAGGCAGTTAGGCTAACTTAGGCCGCGGTTTAGGGGCTTCGATCTCGGATTTTGGATGGTGTTGGGGCTGTTGGGGACTCAATTAACGCGGGAAGCATGAACCAGAACATGTGCTCCACATGCACACAATGCACGGCCAGCTGACAATCCGACTAAACGCTTCAACTGTTCAACTGCACCTTCAATCACAATCTGGCTCGGTCTGACCGAACATCTCTCACACAGGCGGCGCAGACTACCTGTCCCACTCCTTTCACGACTCCGGTTGCTTGTAGGATCAGGTTGCCTCTTGTCGACAACCCTAGAGCTAGAGCAGATCAAGAATATGGCAACTACCGATAAGATCTGATTTGATCTGATCGAAAACAAACATAACTAACATAGCATGAAATCGGGAGAGCCAGCACCGTGCGGTCAAAGACCGAACCCCATGCCAGTGATGCCGCATGTGCTAACGTCCGCCAACTTCAAAATCACTGAATTTTGCGACGCTTCAGTGGTGAAGCCAGATCGTCTTGCAGTCGACTACCCTTGGGAGCTGGGGTCACTGGAGACTCCGGAATGGAGTCTGCCGTCTGCATGGTGTTCTTATGATTCTTATTATGATGATTTTGAAGGCCAACAACTTCAAGCAAAAACCAAGACTCCTCTGATCCTTGGCTGTCCGCAGCGCGCGATGGGGTCGCTGGGCTGCGCTGCTGCCACGACTCAACGGAATCTTGTGAAGCCGGACAAACCTCCTCCCTGCTGTCAGAAACAATCCTTGCAGGACTATGCTGGAAGACTTCCGATGCGCGCACCTTGGATCCTGCGGCGCTTGCCTTTCTTGCCACAATATGATTGCGGGGGAAATGTTGCAGGATCCGAAGCATGTACATGGATTCACTTTCAGAATCTGTGCTGCCACTGTCGCATACTTTCCCAACAGGCTGCAATGGGGCTTCAAGCTTCGGAGATGTCTGTTGGCCCTGCATGCTGCTTTCGTAAGAATCACCGACCTTTGCAGAAGAGGACTCTGTCTGGCTGAAGCGGTCGCCAAGCGCAGTCATCAGAGGTCCGAATACTTTCTTGCCGACAATTGCCGAAGACATCGCAAGGGACTCTACAGCTATATGGGGCGCGAACAAACCGAACACTCAGTGACCAAGCTTTTGACAAATCACGGCCACAAGAAAGCACATGATTCTGATCTCGAGTCTATGAACTTCAATCTTTCTGTCACAATCACGACACAACTCAGGACTCATGACTGCAGACAACTTGATCTGGCTACGCAACTCAAACAGCCCGAACAGCCTGAGCCCGCCTGGTATTCCGCATTCTGGGAAAGGTGTCCGTGCACTCGTCGCAGGCAGCCGTCCACGTTCTCAAGAATCGCCAACCTTGAGGAGGTATGCAGCATGATTCAGGTCCAGGTTCATAATTCATACAGTATGATGTTGCATGCTATGCTGCTTCACGCGGGCTATAGGTGCTTGAGTCTGAGTCTGAGGAATAGCCGGGATGCTTTGGCCGGAAGGCCTTTATGTACCGGGAAGCTTCGACGAAGGGGACCGCATGTTTGTCCTAAGTGCAACTGAATCACTCGTGAAACGGGCAAAGGCTTTGCCAAAGAAGCCACATGTTGTCTTTTCAAACTTCAAACTGAGTGAACTGTGAACTGAGAGACTACAACTACAATTTACAACAACTGATAATCGCATCCAAGCATCCAATCCCTCACCGTCTTTCGATAAAAACATGGATGGTGCCGACGAATGCCCGTAGCGGAGTGTGGATTCTTGACTAAATAATTTGCACGTGAACCCAACCACGTATAAATCCAAATCCAATCTGTCTGCATCACACCAGCACTCTTGGCGGTGACACCACCCGCCAAGCCTGAGCATACAAACTAACAAACTGCTCACGCTGCGATTCGTGCGGAATTCTTTAGCAGGCCTCGCATGCTCCATGAGCCCAAAGCAATGTTTCACATCGTTGTTCATCATGAAAAACTGCCGCGTTGCTGCCTCGGATGAACATCAGAATCAACAGTAGACTATATGGCCTGAGAAAGAGTGGACTTGAACGAAGCGACCTCACTGCTGAAAATGCCGAACATTTCGTTGAGCCGCATGACACTCAGATGAGACAACCTCTGCAAAGTTCCGGCTGCCGACGAGCTGTCTCAAAGCAAAGGACGGCGCCCCAGTTCCGCTACAAGCGGATGCCAATACCTTGTCACTCATTTGCTGTCATTTGCTGCACTAATCATCACCGACTGCAATTCTGAATTCACTCCACGAATGATGCTAGCCTGTTTCACAGCCCAGGCACTAAAGGACTTTCCAATCGCTTCAAGAAATTTTGAGGAGCAACCCCCACCACATCCTGAAACAACTCTGGCCAGTTGATGACCTGAAAACACTGATCTCCCAGCTCTGACCCTCTCGACTTTGACCGCGAGCGGGAACGCCCCCGCTCTGCTGACCTGCAAACGCAAACTGGATAGCTTCTGCACTCATGCGCAATTCGTCACGCCGAGTCATGCCCTATACATCCAGTCTCATATCCGAGCAGCTGTTCCCTGTCTTCAGTGTAGCATTGATACAGATCGGATAGGGGCATGGCACACGGCAGGACAGGCTTCACACAGCTATGCTGCCTATACTAGTTATAGTCGGCCTATGTGATGACACTTCTCTGTGCCAGAACTATATCATGAGATGAATTTCTGCTGACGTCACAGTCAAGCTTGTGCCGTGAGGGTCGCGGCCAAGCGGTGGCAAATCAAGCTGACGGCTGGCCTGCAAGGAACAATTGTGAGGCTTTCTGAACCTCATCTACCTAACCTCGTACAAACCACTAACCCTGGGAATGCTTAAGACTGATATTAGACTATATGTTATATAATAATTATATACTTTGGATGTCACCTGGATGTCCCCAACAGGTAGGAGTACCTAAAAGTAGTCTTAAGCATTCCCAGGGCTTTCCAATTTATAATGTATAATTTGTAATTTGTAGCCCTCTCAAGCCGTGTCAAGCCCCAAACCCGAGCCGTGTCCACGCCAAAACCCAAGCCATGCCCCACTAAGTGAATAGGTGATAAGCATTCTAGGGGGCTCTCAAGCGATGTGCCATCTGAAAGATAGTGAAGACGATCACGCTCATGTGCTGGGAGCAGTGGCAGGAACAGCGGCTGGCTGGAAGGCGGAGAGGACCGCCGTCATCGCTAATAGCTTTTGTTGGTTGACTTCAGACAACTTGGAAGCCAAACTGACGGTCAATCCCCAATCTACAAGGGTTTTGTCCAGGGGTGGCAGGACGCCCGAAGCGGCCTCTTTCAAGATGCCCTGTAACTCGGTGAGCTTCGGTGTGTAGGATTCGCGATGGAGCTTGATGAGACCGTCGAGCCATTTCTTCACATCGGTGGTAGAGGCGGATTTGGGGGAGTTGGAAGCGAGGACAGCGCGGCGATCAAGTCGTTCGAACTTGGAGAAGGAGTCCCGGAGTCTGGTGGCAGCGTCTGGTGGAGGGTTCGGTTCTGCAAGTGGATGAGGTAAGGTCTCGGCGCCCGTGCCAGCGGCGAGCAACCTGAGCTGGTCGTTGTCCTGCTGCAATCGTTGAATTTGTTCAAGAAGCCCAGGTCGTCCTCCGGCTGCACCTTCTCCGTGGGGTATACGATCATTAATCGTCGCAGCAACCTTGTCCGCCACGTGTTGCAAGAGCTGAGCGCGATACGCCCATACGGTAAGGTCGCGTGGGCCTTCGGTAGCAACGGTGTGGTTGTCATGTAGTTGTTTAAGGACATCAGAGATGTCGTATTGGTCCGAGGACTTGCGGAGCGTCCGAATAATGAATGACGCCAAAAGCGCTTCCTGTCGCGTCCTGAAAATTTCAATCACAAGAGGGCGGCCAGCCGCCAGCAGGCGGACGATCCATGCTTGCCCCGCATTCGGGGTAAGCGACACAACAGGTACGAGATGAATAGGCATTTCGGCGATGCCGAGACGCCGGGTAAAGGCAGTGTCTACGACATTGCGCGGTAAAGGAAAACCGCGGTCTGGGTTCGCGTCAAGGAAGAGGTCGGTGGTTTCCCAGTTGGCGCCGAGCGGGTAGATGTCTTCGTAGCGTTCCTGAAGTAGGCGGTGGTCTCGAGCGGAAGGATGATCGCGGCGATCACGGCGAGGTTCACGTCGAGCAGGAGGTGCACCGGAGGACGAATAGTGGGATGGATCATCATGAGGTGGAGGAGTGGAGTGCACCCGGCTGTCAGAATGTGGTGCCCGTCGGTCAGAGTCGGAAGGAGGAGGATGTCGTCGAGACGATGGCCGTGGTGAAGAATAGTGTAGCCGACGTCGTGGGGGAGAATCAGCATCAGGATCTCGATGTCGATGTTGTCTGATCGAAGTGCCACGGTGGCGGTGGCGGTGATGTTCCGGCGTGTTGGACACCGGGGTTCGGCTGCGATGTCGTCGGGGCCGCGGAGGAGACGTACGGCTGTGTGCGCGATTGTCCCGGAAGGACCCCGACCTGGGAGGTTGCGTCGTAATGTTCCGCTGGGACGAATAAGGATCGTGTCGAGAAGGTTCATCACGTCCATGTAGACGATGTCGTCGGGAAGGTGGAGTGCGAGAGCGGTGTGGAGGCATAAGGAGGAGGAAGAATGGGAGGAGGCGTGAGGAAGCAGGCGAAAGGAGCCAAAGTAAAAACGGCTGCGGGAAGTGAGCTCGCTTAAGAACTGCTGCAGTAGCAAATAGTCCTCTTTGTCCAGGTCCTGAGCGCGCATCATGAGAAACGTCCGAGCCGGATCAGAGGCAACTCCTGGTAGCTGGAGGGAATGAAGACCCAATGCTGAATTCCACGGTGTAACGCCATACCGCGGACTTGTTGTGGACAAAACGGATGGAAGATGGACAGGCACGGTCGAGAAGAATGTGACCGTGGAAGATCGGGTGTGCGTTCCACGTAGAAGGCATATTGAAGTCCACGATCACGAAGAAGGGCTCGTACGGCGTAGTATGTTCGCGAGCAGGTCACCATCAAAGAAGCAACGACACCGGGATGAAATGTGATCTCGGCGAGGGCATAGTGAAGGTGATAGTCGCGTTCCGTCCGGAACGCAAGGGCCTGGCCATGTAGTTCAGCAATGGGAAAGAGGCACCTTAACGTGGAGTCCGGGGCGGGTGTACGGGCAGAAGCAGTGTCCATCATCGAGTCCGGAGGGACGAGAGCTGTACGTAGACGAAGTTCCAAGAGTGGTAGGAACACCCGGAAGAGAATGAAAGGATCCGTCAATACGTCCAAGTACTCCAGGACAGTTGCCGAGGTGGATGACGACAAGGTCGAGCAGGAAGAGGAGGCAGAGGACGAAAGAGGAGCAGAGCGTCGGAAAGGCATGTATGGTACCAGGGAAGGGCAGGACTGTGGAGTGATGTAGAAAATGGCTGCGGAACATCCAAGAAAAGGAGGAGCAGAGTCGGCGAGGACACATGTTTTGTTCAGGCCCGAGCGACGGAGTAGAGAGTCAGGGGTGGGCGCTGCTGGTCTCCGCTCAGATCCCGTCGGTGCCGATCACGGTCTCGATCGCGATGGGGAGCATCACGCGCACCTCGAGAGCGGTCAGGATCGTCACGATCATCACGGTCTCGGTCAGCACGGTCGCGGCGGCGACGCCGACTGCGGGATCGGCCGGTGGTCGCCGTTGTGGTCCGTGGAGGAGGAAGTTGCGGTCGCGCTTTGACCGGTACATAAGTCAAAGTGCCATCAGCATCGAGCTTAGGTGCAAGAGCTCGTCCAGTGTGCTTGGAGACAGCCGGAGGTGGAACTGTGTGGCCGATCGGGATGGCATCAGAATGTCCCGGGGTTGATGGCATCGGAGGAGAAGAAGGTCCAGCAGGTAGCGGGTCAGGAGGAAGTGCGCGGATACCGAACGACGTCGACGGCGATGACGATCACGATCGCGGTCTTCAGCGCGAGAACGTTCTTCATCTCGAGGGCGGCCGCGATCTCGTCTCCGAAGTCGTGGCAGGGTCTGGCGCTGGGAGGGATCCACATGAGGAGGAATCGGTGGTGGTCCCATGGGGGCCGGAGGGGCCACACTGCCGTCTGGAAGTACTTGAGGTCCAGGAGAGTCGTAGGCGGCTTGACCAGAATAAGGGCCTGGGTCACTGGAGGTGAGCGGCGCTGTGGCAGGTGGGGGAGCATCGGGAGGCGGTGGAGTAGATGTCGTAGCCACCGGTGTCACAGGAGTCAACGTCGGTCGATTCTGATGGGCTCGTAGCAATACGTCACGTACTTGGAGCAGTTGGTGGTCGGACAACGACTTCAAAAACACCAAGAACAACTGCAAATATTCAGAAGTGAAGGCGGAGGAGGCCATGATGTGCTAGGAAGGTTTCAGCAAAACGGCTGCGGGATGAAGAGGAATAAGGCTGCAACAACAAAGAGACCAGCCATGCCACACCGCAAGTCACGCGCACATTTTGTGGGTCCTCTCACATGAACACGGCAATGCCTTCTGGTTGTGCAAGCGTGGAGTGCACGCCCCAACGGTTGTCGTTGCCGTGTAGGATGGAGACGAAGTAGTTCGCCGCGTTTTCGGGGACGGTGCCCCCACTGTCGCTCTTCAGGTGATAGGCCGCGGGAGTGTTGGGGAGCACTGAAGACGGTGTGTCGGTAGGCGCGGCATTGGCTATGTCGAGATAGCAAATGGGGATTCGGCCATATACACAAATCGGACGGGGAGAACCCCATCCTCCGAACTTGGCTGCAGCCCGTAAGGCTCCGCTGAGACTGTGGACAGAAGCGCGAGAGTAAAAGGCAGGACTCGGCAGCCAAGAAGCGTCAAGGGGGTCGAAGTTGCTGGGGCGGATGCAGCCTTAAGGATGCCAAAAGCCGCCTGAAGGTCCGTGTTGTGACCGAAATACGCGACGGCAGGTGCCCCGCTAACACGCTGTGCTGCTGCCGGGAAGGGAAGCGAAACCATCAGCATCGGTCTGCCTGCTTGGTCTGGTTGATGTTGGGGAGCCTCGACGTGTGTAAACTTGAACTGAACACTGTGAGGATGGTATCCAGCATGTACCAACAGATGCATCACTGTAAGTATCGGATCGGCTAGAGTGAAAGGCACATCAACTTGGCGTCCCTCCAAGAGTAACTCCCGTTGACATTGTCGACGATGAGGGAGCGCTTTGAAGTAGGACCTGTATTGCAGCAATGCAGTATATACTCGATCCCAGTGCACCGCCTTGAGGGAGCCCAGCCGTGTGGAGTAATCAGATTGCAGGTAGGTATCAAGTTGGCCTGCCGTGGCCAAACACTGGCGTAAGGTTGCCAACGTGCAAGCGGAGCTGAAGGGAGCTGCTGAAGTCGAAGATGCTGTAGGTGGCGACGTCAAGGCTGCCGTAGGGGTGGTAGACGGGTCCGGCGGTGAGGTAGGGACATATGCATCAGCAGGCACTGACTGGTCGTTGTTGGAGGAAGACGGGGTTGAGCCAGTGGGAAGTAAACCAGGCCAAAACGGGCTCGGAGGAAGAGGAGAAAGATCAGGGAGAGTGCTTGGAGCTGCCATATCAATAGGTCGTGGAGGCTGTAAAGGGGCAGCGATTCGGCCAGTCAAAGTAGAACGTTGAGGTGCCGCAGTCCGGGTCGTAGGTGCCGCCGGCGTTGATGACGAAGAGGAAGAGGAAGACGATGAGGACGCAGACCTCGGGCGTCGCCGAGATCGTGATCGAGAGGGTGCAGTCGTCCAGAGTCCAGGTGCACAGGATGGACGGGGACGAGGAGGCATGGCGAATGCAGACAAGCAATGCACAGCCTACAACAACAACTACTACAGGGAAAAGCCACTAGAACGTTACGGTCAAAACTCTTCCTGCCTGAGTCCTTGGGTATGAGTGCTTGAAGCCGCTTTAGCTGCAATCGCGTTTTGGTAGGCATGGAGCCGAATTTGTGGGTGCCATGAGAGGCGGTTAGGCCGTGTGGCTTCACTGCTCTCCTCATTGAACTGATCTAAGCGCTGACACTGAATTTGGCGCCTCCGAACTTGGAGGATCTGAGTGCAGCACCGAGGCATACACCACCGTCCCGGAGGACTACACACTGAATGCTAAGAGAGGTTTCTGTATGCGAAGGACCATCTGATGCCCAGGTCTTGGGCGACCATGCACCAGCAACTTTGAACACGTATCTTCATGTGCAGTAAGGTCGAAGCTGAACGGCTCAAAGTGTGCGACCTAGACCTGCGACCTGACTAAACCCCAACACGGCCTGAACCTGCTGCAGACACTGAGGAGCAAGGACAAGACCAGAACTGTGAACTGCAGATGCAAACTCAAGCGCTGACTCACAAGCACTGTTGCGCAGCCACAAGTGTTCGGATGGGGTTCTTGGCTTGGCCCCAGGCCATCCACGCAGAAAGAATGTGGTATGTATCCAGTACGACGATGGACCATATACAGCGAAGACCAGGATGTCACAAGCGTTGCAGGTACAGGGGACTGGCCAAGTCCCCCTTCCCATCCACAACCGTAGCTTCGTTGCACACGGTGGGTTGTGGATGCCGTGTGCCCCTGCTGTGTACTCTGCACTCAAGTTCAGTTATATGTAAATCGTAAGTAGGAAATGGCTGCAGAGCGTGAGGAGAAGGCCCTTGGATACAGGGTTGTCACACACACACACACACCTACAAATATGTGCAGACTGTCCTCGAGGTCGAAGACCTTGTTGGAATTCGCATCAGACTCCGTGAAGTCCTGGACAGGTGAACTACTGCGTAACAAGCTTCTTACTCTTACAACCCGAACAAGCCACAGAAATAAACGGTTCACCTTTCCGATTCCTACTAAATTAAAAGAACCCAAAAACCTTAAAGGTTAGGTATTGGGGATCTAAGTAGTTGTCCAGTATCCTAGAGAATGCAAAGATCAACCTGTGGGATTATATAGGGATTATAGTAGAAGCCTACTACAACTTGGAAGCCCAATAGCTTCAGTCTTTAAGAGTCAAGAACAGAGAAATCCCAGCAATAATTGTCCTTAATCCGGCTTCCAACTTTTTAGAGGTTTGCTATATGATACTCCAAACAGGTTGCATTCAATCTACTACCAGGGCTTTGCAGATGCATTGCCCAGATCCGAAAAGGTAGCTCTAGTCGAGACACAATGCTGGATACCATGAAATGGTCGCCGGTAAGGGCATCATAGGAGATAGTTCGGGTGCTTTGGCACAAAGGAGCCGGCTATGACTTCTGCCATGATTGCCAGGCAAGAGACCGTGCAGTGCACTCTGGCGTCTTATTAAGGTCCTCGCTGTTCCTAAACCCTAAACCCTAAACCCTAAACCCTAACCCCTAAACCCTAAACCCTAAACCCTTCGGGTGGGGGCGTCCCACCGATCTGGTGTATCAATTGGGAAAAGGAGGGACCCATTAAGGGTCCCTTTAAAGGGATCTATAGGGACACTATAAGGGTATAGGGTTTAGGGTTTAGGGGGTTTAGGGGAAAAAGAGGGACCCTTCATGGGTTCTCCTACCCTATAATGGGCTAATGGGTATAGAATAGCTATATGAAAGGTATGTACCTAGGGGTCCTTATTGAGGGTCCCTCCTTTTACCCTTGGAGTGTAGATGATGCTGGGTGTCATTCAATGCAGATAGACAAGGCTCGAGCCATTGGCAGGATGCTTTCGACGAGCACGGCCAGCTTCGGTCCAAAAGCCCCGTCGACAGTCTGCAGCACCGTGGAGTCATGCTGACTCCTGCTCTGATGTCTGGGGCAGTAGCTTTCGATGAAAAGACATGGTTGCAGATCTTGACCTCGAAGCGAGTGGGTGGACGTGCGGGCGTAAAGCTGATACGACATGTTTTCTTCGGGTTTAGGGTTTAGGAGTTTAGGGTTTGATTAGGGTTTAGGGATCTAAAAAACGGAAGGCTTGGTGCAGTCATCTTGAACCGTTCGCTTCCGGGAACCTGCTGAGTCGCTGTCCAACACGACAACCAGGAAGGCTGCTGTTGGGTCAGGACCGCGCTGTTCCACATTGATGTCGACAGACCCAGAGAGCCCAATACCCCTTAATTAAGCAATATACCTTAAATTATAAGGGGCTTCATATTATGATTTAAGCTATATATTCCTTCATTAAGGGGTATTGGGCTCTCTGCTCAGATGGCATGCAGACCAGGGATCTCCGCCAATGTTGCGATCTCCAGGACCCTCCTTGGACCCTCAAATAGGGGTATGTAGTCCCACATAAGAGGCATTTAGGGTCTAATAAAGGGTAGATGGAGGGTCTAGGCTACCATGCATAACTATAGTAAAACCTACCTCAAGAGCCCTTTAGTCTAGCTGGAACATTAGCTGGCTTTGGAAGTGAATCGCTTGTGGCTTTGTACGGTTCAAGGACCGCCCATGAATCACAAGAAGCTTGGGTCAAAACTTGCGTGTGCGAACCACGACCGGCATCTCCAGCGTCTGTTATGCTGCTGTGCTTACCATTTCACTACCCTGGGGCTCCAATATCCCCTAATTACTACTGAAGGAATATACCTTAAATCTTTTAAGGGTTCCCAGTATAATTTAAGTTATATTCCCTAATTTAGGGATACTGGAGCCTCTGTGTAACACACATGTCATGTACAATTCAAGTGTTTCAAAGCTTCGCAAGGCCCTGTTACCCGTCTGCAGCAAAGACAAATCCTCTGGACCTAAGGTGCCGTTGCCGAAGACTCGGAGACTAGTAACCTGTCATAACTCTTGACCCATCTGTGGTTCAAGGACGAGTGTTGAAAGCAGAAAACCCCAAATGGTGCAAAGAAAGCCTCCACCCAGAGACAAAAATCAGCCCTAAGACCCTGCGTAAAAAGTAAAAAAACAAAATCCGGAGACAAGGGCGGGCATGGAAGAACCAGTCAGCCCTAAACCCCAAACCCGAAACCCTAAACCCTAAACCCTAAACCCCTAACCCCTAAACCCTAAATCCCTAAACCCCTAAACCCTAAACCCCTAAACCCCTAAACCCTAAACCCCTAAACCCCTAAACCCCTAAACCCCTAAACCCTAATCCCTAAACCCCTAAACCCTAAACCCCTAAACCCTAAACCCTAAACCCCTAAACTGCGTCGGGCAGGCCTTTTCGACTTCGCCTGACCCCTTCCTGTACGAAAGGGTTGGGAGTCGAGGCTTTCAGGGGTCAGATCTACTTGGAGCTTCATACTTCAAAAAGGGGGTCCCTTTAAAGGGATCTATAGGGATTCCCACAAGGGTATAGGGTTTTTTAGGGTTTACTTGGAGGTTCATGGGAACGTAGATATGAGTGGGGCTATAACTTCCCTAAAATGGGTCATAGCATGTTATAACTGTAGTTACCCCACGGAAAACTACCTATGAACCTCCAAGTAGGGGGTCTTGCATAATATGTGGCAGGGCATAGAAATTGGAAGAGGATGTCGGTGAAGCTTATATCGTATCTAATAAGGCTTCATGCGGCGCATAGTACACAAGCCTTCATAATCAGGTTTAGGGTTTAGGGTAACCAGGCACACACTCCGTGAATGCGGGTGTTCTTTCCCATTCCACGTTTCAAAGATAAAAACTATCAAACCCAGCACCCTGACCTAAGCATAGACCCGTGACCGGAAGTCTCACCTGAAGACAACACATCTGAAAACCATCTCCTAAGGCTCAAAACAGCCCAAAAGCCTTATATAGTATGGTCTTTGCGCCCAAAAGCTTTAATCTATGAGTCCTTAGAGCCTTAGGGATCCCGTAGAAGATAGATCCCACTAACCCTAATTGAACTCTAAGCCCTGTACAGCCTATAACTCTCTTCTTCAACCACCGGGCCCCGAAAAGCTCAAACATAAGGCCAAAAAGTTTAAAGTTCCCCCGGTCACTGTCTAAGATAAAGCCTTGTAAGCTCTCTACTCTCTAAGCCCTAAATGCTACAAGCCTTAAAATCTGTCAAACCTAAGCCGGGCCTCTTCGTCCTGTCCGAGGCGCGCTGCGAGACGAGCTCTTTGGCCTTGCAAACCCCAAGCCCTGTTTCAGGGCTCTTCAAGGGTTCTTTACGGGTTCCTTTAAGGATTCCTTTATAGTTCAGGGCCTAATTAGGCTTGAAGGACGGGCTTGGGGTCCAGGATTCAGGGTCTGGGGTTCAGCGTCAAAAGGTTTGCGGGCTTGGGACACAATGAGGTACAATCTTTGAGGGACTATAAGGGGCCATGTAATGCTCCTATTCCATTACGTTACAATGAAACCTCGTTTGACATCTTCGAAGCTTGCCGCTGTAGATTACCAAACGTTTTGCATGTGCGGCATGTATTAAGGTTTGAGAGCTGGCAGGGTCTGCCTAGGGTAAGGGGTTGCAGGTTGCAGGAAGATCCCTGAATGGCCTGTTTGTGCAACCCTGCGTGCCAAACTAGGGCTGCTGCCACTGCGATTTCCTTTTCCAGAAACACCTAAGCCCCTGAACCCCCAAACCCTAACCTCTGAGCCCCAAAATCTTTATACCCTAAACTACCTTCAGGGAACCCTAATCCCAGGGTCGCAATAATACGGGGGGGGCTCCCCCCGCCCCCCAGCGGGTCCAGGGATTAGGGCGGTCACAATAATGGACAGTGGGGGGTCGCATTAATAGAATGATTGGGGGATTGGGGGTCGGACTGTGAAGAGAAGAGCTGATGCAGTGATTTGGCTCTTGCGAGGGCACAACATGCAGACAGTGACAGCATGGAGCAAAGAGCAGTGCAGCTGGTGCAGAATGTAGTTAGCTGTCGCCGCATAGCCAATAAGGAATCCACTCTTTTGGCCTGCTTAAGATTTCTGGAAAAGCAAAGCTTTGGAATCCAAGTGCAAGGGGAACTCTTTTTCATGAAGCAGCAAGGACTCATGGACAGCATTGCTTCTTATCCAGGAATCGGCCCGGGAATTTTTTTCATTAATGTGAACCCTTTCATAAATCTGGCCCGGAGTCCTGGGGAGGGCCATTGTAAGGGGTAGCTCAGGAAGGAATGAAAATATGCCTTCTTGAATAAGCAATCCAATAAGGAATCCACTCTTTCGGCCTGCTTAAGATTTCTGGAAAAGCAAAGCTTTGGAATCCAACTGCAAGGGGAACTCTTTTTCATGAAGCAGCAAGGACTCATGGACAGCATTGCTTCTAATCAAGGAATCGGCCCGGGAATTGTTTTCATTAATGCGAACCCTTTCATAAATCTGGCCTCAGAGCCCAGTCTTTATTACTTTACTGCAGCTACAGCCTTGTAGAGGCCCAGTTTTTACTGCTTTACTGCAGCTACAGCCTTAGTAGAGGCCCAGTTTTGACTACTGTACTGCAGCTACAGCCTTAGTAGAGGCCCGGTCTTTACTACTCTACTGCAGCTACAGCCTTAGTAGAGGCGCAGCTTTTACTGCTTTACTGCAGCTACAGCCTTAGTAGAGGCCCAGTTTTGACTACTGTACTGCAGCTACAGCCTTAGTAGAGGCCCGGTCTTTACTACTCTACTGCAGCTACAGCCTTAGTAAAGGCCAATCTTTTACTACATTACTGCCAAACCTAGGCTTTCCAGAAAAGTTTCTTTAAATGTGAACCCGTTTTAGAGGTCGCAAAGCCTACAAACGCCTACGCAATGGAAACTCCTCTTCCGGACCCTACAGGCCCCCCAAAAGTTTCTTTAAATGTGACCCATTTAATAATGCGACCCTGGGATTACTCAAATCATGATTCAGAATCGTACCACCGCTGTACTATAGACGTCTGACTAATTAGTAGCAGGATTTCTTCGGATAGCCCTAACGTACAAATGCAGCCCGTATAGCAAGCCCCTACAAACCCCTTGTAATAGAGCCGTTGGAACTCTATTCAAATCATTAAGGAACTCTATTCTAATCAGTAAGGACACTCTAGTAACACTATAGTACCGACCCCAAACCCCTCAACCCTGAACCCCGACCCCAAACCCTGAACCCTAAAACCCCTAAACCCTGAAACCCCTAAACCCTAAACCCTCAACCCTGAACCCTAAACGATGTTAGACAGCCGAGGGCCTTCTTCCAGGCCTGTCGTTCGCCTGGGCCGCAGCACACGCGACAGAGGTCTCCACTTGCGGATTCAAGGTGATACCATTGTAGCTATTGCTAGGGGTTCCTTTCGCTTACCTTACTATCGTATGATATGCCACAAATATTATGTCCCAAAACCCTTCTTAGTCCGATAAGACCTTCAAGAACATAGACTCGAAGTACGAGTTTTGGGCGCGTGGACTCTGGCTTCAACGAAGTTACAGAGAAGAAGCCCGTGGGGCTCTCGTGAGTATACCTTTGGTTGCGGCCTCCCCTCGAGGCGGAACCAACAACTCGCTCAAAAGCCAGAACTGTATCCGACTCTCTGCAGTACAATCTTAGGCCTACCACGAAACTTCCCTAAACCTTAACCTCCATCCGGCTGACTCAGCCCTAGCCTCTTGAATTTAAATCCATCACATGGGCTTGGGATTAGGATTCATACAGTCCGGATGAGTGTAAGGACCTGAACAAGGACCTGCAACTTTGAAGCCGGCTGGTCACCCAGAGACTCCAAAACCCCTTAATTAAGGAATATACCTTAAATCATATAAGGGCTCCTGTGATCATTTAAGGTATATTCCTTAATTAAGGGGTTTTGGAGGCTCTGGGCAGAACCTCACTCATCTGGGGCCAATAATAAGAAACGGGCTTTGGGGCACCTTTTATGGTATAAAAACTAGCATAAGTTTCCGGCTTTTATATTATATGGGACCCTATAAACAAAAGCCCTTGCCATATAATTCCTATAAAACCATGAAAAAGCCTGCACAACGTGTTAAACAACTTAATTAAAGAAAGGCGGTGCAACTACACCCCGAGGCTCCCGCGTTCCAGAGCTTCGCCGAAGACCTTGGCGATGGCGTTCACGCGAGGATTGTCCTCCTGCCAAAAGCTTGCTTGCAGGTTCATGGGTACTGATAAGTGGGGTTGTAACTCCCCTAATATGATAGTTGCCCTGGATATAACCCTACATATGGGTGGTTGACAAAATTGTGGTCCTTGTTTGGGTGCCTAAATATTAGGTGCCGAATTATACAAGGGACCCAAAAAGGGCCCATAATTTTGACAACCACTCATATAATGTAGCTTCCCATGGACCTCCAAGAAGGGTTTTCAGGTTGGGTCAAGGGAGCCCGAGGCACCCACAGGAACGAAACCTTCAACTCAAAAAGGTTCCGGTTTAGCGTTCAGGGTTCTTTGCTACACTGAAACCAGTCATAGGTCCTCAAATACCAATATCATCCAATATCCCAAAGGCAGCTTGAATGCGCGGTCTTGATAGTTGGAATAAAACTGCCTAGGAAAATAAAAAAAGCATGCAACAGGAAGTAGCCTAAACCCTAAACTACCCAGAGGCCCCAAAGTAGTTCCTTTTGGGATTACCTTATAGGACTCTATAATAATGTATGAACCCCAAAAAGGAACTACTTTGGGGCCTATGGGTATTAACTATGACTAAGTACTCACCCAAAAGCCTCGGCCCGAGAAATGGACCGGTCTTCTTGGCTTACCGTTGCCTAAACAGCCCAGAACCATGCAGATTCAGGCTTCTTTGGTTTAGGGTTTGGGGCACAGTAAAGTTCTAAGCTGTGACGCTCTGAAGCTCTTAAAGTCTTAGTCTTAAAGCCTAAAGTCTAAGAGCTTTTACCATCAACCCTTCACGCAACCTTTCAAGCCCTGAATCCCTGCTCTGCAGGTGCTGTCTTAACCCTAAACCCTAAACCCTAAACCAATCCTAAACCCTAAGCCCGGTACCCTTCCTCTACAGCTGCTGACAGGTACTGCGCGTACTCTTCGAGCTGTGGGAACTCGTCAGAAGCGCCCTGCAGTGGTTTAGGGGCTAGGGTTAAGCTTCCAGAAACCTATTTCACTCATCGCCTGTGACGGAAATGTGCCTTTGTGTTTGATATTTTAGATCCCAGCTGCCTCAAAAAAAGCTGGCCGCAAAAGAAAGAACTTCATTGAAGCAATAGTGTACTCAGGAATCCAAGGGGGGACCGTGAGGCGGGTGATAGCATCCTGTGTTCGAAGTACAGCTGGAAACTACAACAACGAATTTCCTTGGCGTCTCAGGTCTTGTCCCGAAGACCAAGTTTTGACCGAGTCGTCCGCAAGCCCAGTGCGAAACACTTCAAACCTAACACAGTAAACCGCCAAGCCTTGCTTCGAGGTTCGTGGGTAGATATAAGAGGGGATATAAGTAGGGTACCAACTAGGGGATTCATAACCCCAATTATAACTATGAACCTCCAAGTAAAGCTTTTCGGGCAGAGTTTTAGTCTGGGGTTTCGGAGTGTCTTTTCTCGGAAGTCGGGCCACCAAACGGCAAACCTCATGAAAGGGCTACGCTTTCCAGCGAGCCTCAGACACGCTTGCTCTCAGTGTCGCCTTTCTTGAGGGATTCTGCCGGTCATGTTGGAAACTTAAACACTCAAACTTAAGCCCTCTAAAGCCCGAACGCAAACTGTCGCAAAGCCTCAGAATTCCATTCAGTCGAACAATCTACTAAGCTACAAAGAAGTTTGAACAGCCTCGATGCTGAACCACAGCCTCCCAAAGACTTCAAAACCCATTGATTAAGGAATATGCCATAGATCTAATATGACAATCTACAGTATTTCCCTTGAGGTTTTGGAGTCTGTGGGTATTAAACCGGTCCTTGTACTCTGGTATTTTCTGATGCCAACCATCCGTCAGCACCAGGGAATCCGGCATCAGGCCAACAGTCTTCAACTGGGCTACTTAAGGGCACCACAGGATGTTTACAACAAGTACCATCGAGTACCTCATATTGTAAAACCTCGCAAGATAGGAGCTGAAGGCATATTACAAGTGTGCCAAGACTCTAATGTACCCAGAGACTCCAATATCCCTTAATTAAGGAATATTCCTGAAATTATATTCGGGATCTGAGTATAATTTAAAGTATATTCCTTAATTAAGGGATATTGGAGTCTCTGGGTAGGAACCTCATTAAGACACCCTGCCCCTATAACCCCAAAATAGTAGGCTTCAACTAAGGAGCCCTAATAACGGCCCCGGTTTCTTAATCAGGTTCCGACATTATAGCCTCTTAGACATAGCGCCAGCAGCCAGCAACAAGAACCTTTTGCGCCCTCAAGGTAAAGTGGCAACACCACAGACTCCCTAAGCCGGCAACTCCTACATTTTTTACTGACTTGTCCATTGTCATGAAGAACATAAATGTTAGCTTTTGGGGTTATATAGGGGTGACAGTACTAAGCTACTGCTGCTGCTGCTACTACTACTACTGCTACTACTACTACTACTACTACTACTACTACTACTACTACTAGCTAAGAGCAAGCCTGGAACAGGTCCCTGAGCTCGGTCAAGGTCAAGTCTCCCGAGTTGTCCAGGTCTGCAGCTTGGAAGAGCCTCGCAGGACAGGACAAACATGGGTGTTTGTCAATATTAGGGTTCCTTTTTGGGTCCTTGTTATAATACGGCACCTATTCTTTAGGGTACCCAGAAAGGGACCACAATTTTGACAACCACCCACATAGGTGCCCTGAAAATTAGAGTTGGGTTTCCGGGCCCGTATGGTATAGCTGTGCTAAGGCCCAGGGAATAGTACGGTAATTGTTCAAGCTTCTTTGCCACATGAAGGCTGAAGAAGTTCTAGAGGTTTTGGCAGGTCTCGTACAAGATTGTACAAGGCCGTTGAGACGGGTCTGAGAAGTTTGGGGCGTATGAGCTAGGAGGACGAGGAAGAGAGAAGGCTAGGACGCGGCAGTAAGGATATTCCAAAACTCCCCAACTTCGGCGCAGGGCTTGAAACCTGAGACCCGTAAGCCCGGTTTAGGGTTTAGGGTTTAGGGTTTAGGATTGAAACCTCTGGGCACCTGGATACTGAAAATTTAATTATGCAGCAGCAAGCCCTAAACCCATAAACCCATTACCCCCAAAACCTTAAACCTCGCCAGCGGAGATAAGCCCGCCCTAAACCTTAAACCATAAACCCGAATCCCTAATCCCAGCCCTAAACCCTAAACCCTGAACCTTAAACCCTAAACCCTAATCCCTAAACCCAAACCCCTAAACACAAATCCCTAAACCCTAATCCCTAAACCCAAGTCCCCAAACCCAAATCCCTAAAGCAAGTGGCGAGTCGGCGTAGGGCGATGTTCGCTCGTGCCGCACGCTTGCGGCATCCCCCAGAGCCTCACTAGTCAAGTCTGATTTTCCTTTTAGGGCTCCATAAAGGGATCCCTAAACGGTTCCATAAATGGATCCTTAAAAAGGATCCGTAAAGGGATCCTTAAAAATATCCATAATAGGGATCCTTAAAAAGATCCATAAGGGGATCCCAAAAGGGTTGCATAAGGGGATCCTGGGACTTAGGGGTTTAGGGGCTTACTTGGAGGGTCGGGGGACTTAGTAACTGGTTCTTTTCGTGACTTAGAAGTACCCATAACCCCAATTATGGTCCCTTTTAGGGTATAGGTCTACTTCCTACCTACTTGCCAAGTCCCCCGACCCTCCAAGTAGGGTTCAGGGCCTAAGGTTTTCGATTTCGGTCGCTAGGGACTGGGAGCCTTCGGGCTTTAGCATTCTACATGGGATGTCCCGAAAGTAGGGGGGCTTTTTAAGGGGTTCCTTTCAAGGGCTGCTATCAGGGTACTATAAGGGTTCCTTTCAAAAGGCTCTATAAGAGTTCATATTGGGAGGTTCCGAAAGTAGGGGGACCCTAATATAGTACCCTGAGTAGCAGGATCCTTATTATCAGGACCCCAAAATGCAGTAGTTGGGCCGTTTAGAGTGTTCGGGTTTGGGTTTGGGATGGCTTAAGCGTTCAGGAAACCTCTTGACATCCCAATGCTTCGTCTTCCTCCTCGATCACGAACTTGTCAGGTACTACCGTTCCTCTATTTGTGCCACTTGCAGCCGTTATCGCTACTGATAAGACTTTTGACACTTGTACCAACCTTTTGCTGCTACTGCTACTACGACGACGACGTTATACGAATAGCAATATCAAGTTGATACTGATTACTGATTATACCAGTGACGTAATTGAGAACCAGTTTCATGTTACTTGCAATCAGTTTGCTCTTCCAATAAACAGATAGTACTATTCTCAGATGGCTGCTGCACCCAAACCCTGAACCTTAGATCCTGCGCTCTAACTATGCCCCCAAAACGCTCACCTTAAACCCTAAGCCGGCCCTAAACGGCTTGCTGTCCAAAGGGCATAGATTGAGCCGCCGCTCCCGCGAACCTGGACCCGACTTCCCTCGTGGTTCGGGGCACAGGGTAGCTGTAAGGGTTCCTTTAAAGGTTTCTTTAAATTGTACGGGTTCCTTTAAGGGTTTCTTTAAAGGGATCTATAGGGATTCTTTAAAGGTATAAGGTTTGACCGGTTGGGGCTTTGGGGGCTTCAGGCTGAAAATCTTAGGGCTTGGAGAAAAGGCTCAAGGCTTAGGCAGTATGTTCTTTGCCGAGCAGGCCAAGAATGAAGCAACTATGAGGTTGAACTCGATTGGTACATTCCTCTTGTCGAAAATCATGTGGGTGACCCAAGCCCGTCACTACATATGCCATCCACTCATCCGGTACAAATTTGACATGCGAAATGCAAGCCCCAGACCCTGGTGTTTGCAGACTTCTGGATTTGGGGCTGAACTTATTCAAAGCAGCACTTGGTGGAGGACAAAGACAGAAAAAAAAGTATACTGAACTTAGATTCCTAGCAAAAATTATAATTTTAGCTGTTTCTTAGAGATTATAATAGCCAAAAATTAAAAAGCTATTTCTAAGTACCCCTAAGGAAAGTATACCAGCACCTGCGGCCGAAGGCTCTTTGTCTACTGAGGCACTGAGGTGTTTAGGGTTCAGGACGGCCAGTGGCCGTATCTCCATGTTTACAAGCACACACCCTGGGACTGTCTCTCTTCTTCAATCATCTGGCCCAAAAAGCTCAAACTTGCTGAAATAGACCGAAATATCTAAGGCAAAACAATTCTAAAGATATTGCATTGGCTATTACATGGTTTACTTGTGCTTCATGACGAGTACAGTCAAGATAAGCTGGAGTTCTACGAACAAGCCATAGTTCTTGAACCGCAAGTCCCAAACCCAAAGCCCAATTCCCGTGCACCTGGAGCCAGTCGTCAGTGATAATGCCGTTGGCTGGCGTCTTCAGGATATTCCTCAAACTTCTGGGCTTGTGGCTGTGAACTCGGCCGTTTCGGGTCTTTTAAGCCTGCAAACATAGCGGTCGACGGTCCAAACTGTAAACAGACGACACGGAAAGACCTAAGGCCCACACTCTTCCCAGAGAGCGTAACTGAGGAATATGCCTCAAATCCTAGGGGGTCTAATATTATGCTTCAAGGTATATTCCTTAGTTAATGGCGTATTGGGCTCTCTGGGTTCGTCCTTGCTCGGAGGGTCGGGGGACTTCGTAACTAGTATTTTTTTAGACTGATAAGCATCATAACCCCAATTAGGGTCCCTTTCAGGGTACTTTCAAGTCTACTTGCTACTATCTTACTGAACCCTAAACGCCTAAAACCCTTTAAACCCTAAGCCGAAAACCATTAACAACAAAAAGCTATACCCCTGAAGCCCTAAACCCCACTACCTACCTACGAAGACCGCCGATCCTCCAAGTGAACCCTCAACCGTGTGGCGGCCGAACATCAGATCCACCCCCGAGGTAGGCGGCCAGCACTCTACTTGGAGGTTCCTGGGTAGGAAGGGTTCCTTGAAGGGTTCCTTTATGGGTTTCTATCGGGATTTACGGTTTAGGGTCTACTTGGAGGTTCCTGGGTAGCTATAAGTGGGGCTATAAGTTGGCTTTCTGTAAAGGGTTGTATAGGGTTTAGGGTCTAGGGTTTGGGGTAGTTACAAGTCAAGGTATAAACATGGTAAATGTAATCCTAACTCATATTTGGGGGCTTATACACGCAGATATAACTACCCATGAACCTCCACCCCTGAACGCCTGCACGGTGTAAGAGTCTTCACAGCATGTTGTGCTAACGGTTCAATATACTTATACGGCTAGAACCATAATCCACAAGGCAGGTGTATTCCTTCATGTGCCAACGCGGCTCCAATTGCCCGAATACTACCTGAGTACGAAACGCTCAGCAATCTAATCTGCTACCACCAAGGCTGCCCAAGCCACACGTTTGAATCCGAAACACCCTCATTGAGCTTGATGAGGGAGTCCTTGCGCATGGTCAAACGGGATCAGGGCAGCAGGGGGAGGTGTTGTGCGATAGCTCCGCGGACTGAAAGGATCGGTGGGGTCGAGGGCCCTTTTCGGCCTCGAAGACCGCGACAGGCAGATTTTCCAAAGCCCTCACTATCAAGACCATCAGCCATACCACATCATGTACTGTGCTTCGTCGCCCTTCTTGCACGACATGGAAGGACCCCCCAAATAGGGTACCCTAATTTTCGGAAACTCCCACATGTACCGGCCCTCGTAATGAAAAGCCCCAGAGCTCTGACCCCTGATCCGCAGGAAACCTCCCCACCCTCTGCCTGCAGCCAAAACATTAAAGCCAACACCCTGAGTTCCTAAAGACTATATAGACCCTTAGCTAACGCTAAGCCCTAAATCCTAGTACCTCCATTGAACCAAACTAGTTCATGGTTGGTTTTTAAAGGATTTAAAATGTATGTTTTTATTCCTTATTGGGTTTACTGTATGTACCCATAAACATGTGAAATGTTACCCAACTATGACAAAGCTATGGGTCATGCAGGATTTATGTCATCAACCGTAGTACCTCCATTGGACCAAAGTCAAAGTCGTCAAGGATTCTAGGTCATGCTTTGGATAGGATTACCAATATACACTCTTATTCCTTACTTGGAGGGTCGGGGGACTTAGTAAGTAGGTAGCAAGTAGACTTATAAGTACCCTAAAAGGGACCCTAATTGGGGTTATGGCACTTATAAGCCCCGAAAATAACCAGTTACTAAGTCCCCCGACCCTCCAAGTATGGGGTTTAAATGCCGCTCAACATGTAAAATGTTACCCAACCATGACCAAGGAGGATCCTCGAGTCCTTATTTATGGCTTTTTTGATACCTAAAAAGGCCCTAAAATACTTTAGGGTTAGGGTTTAGGGTTTAGGGGTTTAGGGGTTTAGGGTTTAGGGTTTAGGGAGTACTTGGACCCTCTGGGCTAGTACCGCGATTGGGCCAAAGTCGTCAAGGATCTTTGAGCTGGTTCGTCAGCTCGTTCTGGCGGATTCCGGCTGCCCACACGACACCTGGGAGCTTCCACATGGGTGGTTGTCAAAATTAGGGCCCCTTTTTGGGTACCCTAAATAATATGTAAGTGCCGTAATATAATAGGTACTCAAAAAGGGACCATAATTTTGACAACCACCCATGTGATTTGAGCCTAGTTTAGGGTTGTGGGTTTAGGGCTTAGGGTTTAGGGTTCGGGGGCCATCCACAGTCCGAGAAATACCTTCCTTCTACGGAGATCCTAAACAAAAGGAGAAGCTACGGTAACTCAGCGTAGTTTACGGCTGTTTGGAGGCAGGACTGTTGGAACCATAGGTGAACCCGAAACCCTAAACCCCTGCTAGACCCCACACCGGGAAACTACAAGTTGAGATCTTTGGGTCGAAGAGCTTAGGCTTAAGCCTCCAATGTGAAACCCGGAACCCTCGTTAGGACTAGAAGTCCGGCGTGCTTCAGCACAACTACAGAATCGAGCACTTGCCTCTAGGGTTTAGTGTTTAGGGTTTTTACAAAAGCTGTCCTTCTTGAAGGTTCATGGGTATTTAAAAAGCGGGGTTACAAGTAGGGCATCCGGAATTAGGACCCATACTGAAAACTCAATGTCAATTATAACCCACTTATAGCTACCTTGAAGCTCCAAGTATAACTCCTAAGCCGTATCTGAACCCTAAAGCGGTAATCAACCCTGGATATCAGAGGTGTTCTTTATGGATGTGACTTCATTTTACCGACGTTCACCCCAACATAGGTAAGTCCGCGGTGTACAAACCCTAGGTAAGTTGCCTCCGTAACTTCAGCCGAGTGGCATCCGTACTCGAGAGCCCTTGGCTGCGAATTGATCCACCGAAGGCTGCAACCTATGGGTCCATATACCCAGATCGTATCTAACATACTTTGGCCCCAATTACTTATATAGGGACTACTTTAAGACCTAAGTGCACATACTATATCGGCGCACGGACCCTTAGGGTGAACAGAAATGAATGCCTTGAGGGTCTAAGGGTCTAAGGCCACAGATATGTTTAGGACATTGACGCCTCAACACCATGATGCAGGGGGGGGCGGCTTAATAATCAGAAAAGCGTTTTGGGGGTTCCTTATTACACTGATTAATAAAACACCCCCAAGCCCTATTTTAATTATTAAGGCCCCTACAGAAGTGTTCAGGATCGTTGGGCCTGCATAGACTCTTAGTCAAAGTATCTTTTCAGCCAGGTCTAAACCCCAAACCCTGCAAGATCTCGACAGCCTCTCAGCCTACAAGAAAGAAGTCCAAAAGCCCCACTCTCTGCGCCACACCCGAAGTAAGGGCCTCACATCTTTCGACCAGGACTGGGAGGTGTAGTGTAGCCTATCTATGTTAAGGAACACCACTCTAATGTTCTCTATCTTACATTCGATATCGGCAAACAGCTTGCTGCTGAGGAAGCCGCACTGCCTCTCCATCCTTCTTTTTCATCTGGATCTCCTCGGAAAGCAACTCGAAACAGTCAATGCCGACACTGAATCATGTCACAAGCAGAAAGAGGTAATAGTAAAACCTAAACCCTAAAGCTTGAAGCCTAAGCCCTGAACCCTGAACTCTCACAACACCGAGACTAGGGGTCATCAGCAAGCCATGCGAAGCAAGCTGATGAGAACAGCGGCAGTACGATGAAGTCTTTCTTCATAGCCCTAGACACTAAAACCCTAAAACATCAAGCTGCAAAGAACTACAGAAGCCTACAATGCAACAATCTCCCTAAGGGTCCAAGAGTCCTTATTCATAATTACCTAAAACGACCCTAAAGCACTAAAATAGGGAGTACTTGGACCCTCTGGGTCTTCGCTGCTGCCCAAGAGTCCTTCTTGGTAATCTCGGTGACACGGTAGCCCGCCAGGACCTCCACACCTGCGCTGCGGCTTCACAAAGGCGAAACCCTTGGAGGGTTTAGGGTTCAAGGTTAACCCGGGATTAACTACCTTTTTTGGGGACTTATATATAAGGAAACCATAATAAGGAATCCTAAAAGGGTATCTTATTCAGGGTTTAGGTTTTAGGGTGTGATTAGCAAGGGTTAGCTTTCAGGACCTCCCCAAAGGGCCCTTTAATAGAGCCTGGGCAGCGGGTATTTGCGGTATGTTGGAGGGTAGTTGGGGGGCCTTAGGTTAGCATGTATAATAGGGTGGAACTAGCGGATGCCTTCCCCAGAGGGTCCAAGTACTCCCTATTGTAGTACTTTAGGGCCTTTTTAGGTGTCAAAAACCATAATTAAGGACTACTTGGACCCTTAGGGTTCGGAATGGACAGCAGCGCGGATTCTCGCAGCAACGTTACAGGAAGCTTCGGACTTCTTGTTGCGCAATAATGAGCCCGACAACTTCCCCGAAGGGTCCATGTGCCCGAATACGGTGGATGATAGAAATCCTGCATTACCCATAATAAGGAATATACCACATTTCCCATAGTTTAGAGTCCCTAAGGTAATGCAGGATTTCTATCATTAACAGTAGTATATGGGAGTTTCCGAAAATGGGGGTACCTTATTTTGGGACCCTTATAATAAGGATCCTACTATTTAAGGTACTATAGTAACGTGACCTATTTCCGGAAAGTCCCATATACTTTGGCCACAAGAATACTTTAAGGCCAAAGTCCTTACTAGTTGGGCACATGGACCCTTAAACCCGTAGAACACCTAAACGGTGACCTTCTTGAGGGGCTGCGCTGACACCTGCAACCCTGGGTTAGCATTTAGGGCTGAGGGGTTTAATAATCGGGCTTGGGGGTATATTATCATACTGTAAGTATGATAAGCAACCCGCAAAATAGTATAGGTAACTATTAAGGCGTCTATACTATCTCCTCCATGAATCTAGGGGTTAGGATTAGGAGTTTTTTGGGGGATGCAGACCCTCTCAATAAGGTCCCTTGTATTAGCCCTTATAGACCCTTTAAAGGGGCCCTTAAAGGGTCCTAAAAATATGAAGGCACCTAAATTACACACGAATCGAGGCTCCGGGACAACGGTTTAGGGCCATCAACTTCCCTCTATTATACCCTATTAAGGACCAAAAGAGCTGTGTTAACGGCTACTTGGGGGGCTTTAGGGGGTTTCCTTCAAAAGGGATCTACACGGAGTGCTAGGGTTCCCGCCCGGCGCCTTTCTCCTCGAAGATCTCGATGCATTTCTGCGAGATGCCGCGGTCGTAGGTGGAGAGCAGGAAATCCCCTGAAAGCTTTGGCAGGAGTTAGGGTTTAGGGTTTAGAGGTCTGTAGGGGTATAGAGGTTTAGGGAGTTTAGGGTTTAGGGGCTTAGCGGTTTGGGGTTTTAGGGTTTTGGCAGGAGAGAGCACAGCTCAATCCTGTGCATTTTATACGCCCTATACACCCTATACCCTAAGACCGACTACGGCCTTTCAAGGAAGCCTTACGAAGGGAAGATCGAATCAGCACTGATCGCACGAATCACGTTAGATACAAGCACTTCTGCAAGAGCTGGCACACTAAGTCTCAAGCCTTGAACCCACGTCCATTTGAGCCCTCCCGGCACATGGATTGCCGAACGCAGCGAACCAACTACAGATTCACTAGCTGTAACAAAAGGGCACCCATGATTGCTCCAAGTCAAAAAGCATCAACGACAAAATCCTGTCCGCCTGCATGCTACCCTAAAGCCCCCTAAAACATGGTGGGCGCCTGTGTTCACGAGCTTTACCTTGACGTAGTCCATGAGCTTGGGGTAGAGCTCCTGAGTGGTTTCAGGTTTAGGGTTTAGGGGGTTAAACTGATCGAACTCTAGGTGGTTGTATGAGGTTGCTACATGGCTTAAACGGTTTTGCATGGGATTCGACATTATATTACATGGCTTCAAATGGCTCATCTTTTGAAGCCTCCCCCGAACTCTAACCCGAAGATCCTAAGGGCTCATACTTTAAGGTGGTTGGGCCCAAAAATCTTACTGCCGAGTAGCTCGCTTTGAACGGTTGAGGGTGTAGGAATCCTGAAACCCCGACGCCCTAGACCTTGACCCTACCCAAAAGCCTCAAAAGTAGTTCCTTTTTTGGTTTAACCAGTTATATATTAAGGATCTTATAAGGTAGCCCCAAGAAGGAACTACAATGGAGACTATAGGTAAAGTATAAACTCTAAAACCCTAAAAAACCTTGCAGGCTCACCCTAAACCCTAAACCCTAAGCCCTAAACCCGAAACCATCACACCCTAAACCCCTAACCCTGTGAGTGAGGGGCCGCTGCATCACCGGTGATGAAGTCTGCCATGTCAGCGGCCACCTCGCCAAAGGCAGCCGTTCTAGGGTTTAGGGTTTAGGGTTTCTTTAGGGTTTCGGGTTTAGGGATTAGGGTGTAGGGTTTCCCTTCAACTAACACGCTATGAAACTAGACATATTCTTGAAACCTTACATGACAAGGGCAGCATCTTCAGCGTCACGTGCTTCAGTCTCATTCACGGTCGTTTCGTGAATTTCGCAAAGCCGTGCCCTGACTCGGTTGATGGAAATAGACTCCTCAAAGGGACCCCTACCCTATAATGGGCTATATAATGGGTATATAATAGCTATATTAAGGGTACATACCTAGGGTCCTTATTGAGGGTCCCTCTTTTTTCACTGGAACTCCTGCATGCAAACACCGGCAACCAACTATGATAAACGTCTTCGTGACACGACTTGCGGAAAACAGACGACGAACAACACTAGAACGAACCATGCGAATCGCCTGAAGCAGTGTTCAGCACTGAACTGACAAGATTAGACTTGGAACTGACACCCCTGAAATCACGTCATGGGAAGCAAGAGTACTGTAGGGGCCTTAATAATTAAATAGGGGTTTGGGGCCCGCTCTACTATGACTATTCTAAGGAACCCCTGCCCAAAAACTAGCATAGGTAACTTTTAAGGCCCCTATGCCTATGTTATATCCTTATGATAGCCCTTACAGACCCCGTTAAAGGAACCCTACTCTAATAATTAAGGCCCCTATATATCTTATACCCTTGTGACAGCCCTTATAGACCCCTTTAAAGGAACCCTACTCCAGAGGGTCCAAGTGCTCCCTATTTTGGTACTCCGAGGCCTTTTAGGCATCAAAAACCATAAATAAGGACTACTTGGACCCTTAGGGCCCCTTTTTTGACCTCACATCCCTGCCGTGGGCAGAAAGATGCCTCCACTCCGGTGGGACCGCCGCCAACGACCCTGGGCCAGAAGTTCTACTCCTCTACTTGGAGGGTCGGGGGGGGACTTAGTAAGTAGGTAGTAAGTAGACTCATAAGTACCCTAAGAAGGACCCTAATTGGGGTTATGGTACTTATAAATTCCCCTAAAATAACCAGTTACTACGTCCCCCGACCCTCCAAGTAAGCACAACTGACGGGCGGCCAAAAGCGGGGTTAAAGATTCTTGGGGTAGGGATTCCTTAATATGAGCCCTATTATGGGAACCCTACTCCCTACTAAACCCCCATAGGCTAAAACCCCTTTTGGGCCTGATTATGGCCGAAGTATATACTGTTTGGGCACCTGGACCCTGACAGAGGACCGTATTATGGAACCTTGGAGTACCCTTAAAGGGGACCCCATTATAGAAGCTTGTAGTACCCTTAAAAGGGACCCTAACAAAGGGTCAACCGGTTGATGATACAAATCCTGCATTACCTATAATAAAGAAATATCTGAAATTCCCATAGTTTAGGGTCCTTAAGGTAATGCAGAGTTTACATCATCAAAAGTAATACAAAGGTCCAGGTTCGTCAGTGAAAAAAACGAGCTGCAAAGGGTTGCAATGTATAGAGCCTGGTTTGCTTTGTAAGGGCATGGCTCTAAAATTCCGCAAGAGCAGACGAAAGAGAAGATCAGAGTTGATTCATTCGGGGGCTGCTCCGGTAGACTGTATTGAAACCGTTCATTGCCAAAGTCTTTTAGAGGTCCCTAGCTAAACCGCTGCGGCGATCGACGGACTGGTAGCAGAAGCCGCACAGAGAGTCTTGGAGGTCCATGGATAATCAGAAGGGGAAATACTGTTGATGGACAAAATCCTGCATTACCCATTATAAGGAATATACCATAGTTCCCATAGTTTAGAGTCCTTAGGGTCATGCAGGATTTGGTCCATCAGCAGCAAGTCCCCTGGTATGGGCTGTAATTACAGCTACCCTGAATAACCCCCTGATATCTACCCATGAACCTCTAACCTGTCCATCACACATGCAACAAGCTGCATGTCTTTCTCCGAAACTGTGCGTTCACACATTCATGCTGGATCTGCACGGACCAGACGCGACTTGAACGCAACAGAAGCCAACGGTAGCAAGATATTATAGGGCGTAAGAAAAACACATGGGTTATGGCTCGCAAGAAAGACACTAGCAAGGCGTATGTTCTCGCGGAAGAGCTGTAGGTATAAACCTTGACTGGCCACCACCCCAAAGCCTCAAGCCCAGAAGGACCCCTACATAACCTCCCAAAAATTGTAACCCTTAAACCTCACACCCAAAAATCTATCGAGACCCATCCCCGGAAACCCCTATCATTTAAACGGATCTGTGAGGGATCCTTTAAAAGGATCTACAACCGTTCCCGTATCTGTAAGGGCACCATAAGCGTTCTATGAGGGTAGCAGAAGGGTTTAGGGCCCCTAATCCCTAAGTCACAAATGCGAAAGAAGCCAGGGGGCACAAAGCTGAGCCACCTGGACGCAGAGGCGGCTCGAAGGTGTCCGGTGAAAAGGTTTAGGGTCTAGAGGTTCATGGGTAACTGGAGTTACAAGGGCTCCTTTAAGCGCCCCTTTAAAGGGGTCTATAGGGATTCAACAAGGGTGTAGGGTGCAGGGCCACCAGGATGCCCAGTAACCTAGGAACATAAAGGGGCTCCCTTTTTGGTATTGGGTACCTTTATGTATAAGGAGCCTAGGACTACAAAAAGGGAATACAGTATCATACAGCAGCCCAAAAAGTTAAAGTCCTGAGAGCTAACGAGAAGACTTACCTATGGTTAGTAGGGAATGGAGGAATGAGGTACAATTATAACTACTATTACTACCATTCTTCCCTTACCTACCCTACTCGTCGGGTATCATGGGGAACTCAAGGTTAACCTGTTGGGTCATATAGGGATTATATAGGGACTATACTAGCTACCAACCAAGCCTAAGAAGGCCAAGATTGCAAACTCTTCAGGCTTCAATTCTCCATCCGTAAGCGGACGGGAAAAGTGGAAGTCGTCGTCGTACGGTTGACGATGTAAATCCCACACCACCTTAAGGATCGTAAATTATTGGAATTATGTTAATTCGACGATAGAAATCCTGCTTTTCCTTAAGGATCCTAACTGTGGGAATTATGTTAGACGATATAAATCCTGCATTACGTTAAGGATCCTAAACTATGGGAGTTATGTTATGTTCCTTATGATGGGTAATGCAGGATTTATATCACGAACTCTGGCTACGCATGTACAAGTGAAGCACAACGCACTGGAGAAGGACTTTCTCGCTGATGTGATGCAGCATGGAACGAACTGTCAGAAATTAATCTGAAAACTGGAAACAAAAATGCCCAATCCTCAAAGACTACACAGTCCAAAGCACCACGCCCCAGAGTAAGTTATGTTTTGTGTTGAACTCGTTTTCTCTTTAAGGGTTTACGGTTTCATGGCAATTAAACTTCGGGTTTAGACTTTAAGGGTTTTGGGATTCAGGAACCTAGCGAGTCCCTTTGTGTACATGGATCTCCGCACCTCTTCTTCTGTGTTTCGGTGGATGTAGGCAAGGATGCCCTGCCAGCGAAGAGGTGTCTGTTAGCTGGCTAGGAAACGAATCGCTAGGGTCTACACAGGGACCCTTTGGGCTTAATGCCATACTGCGACAGTCTTTGGGTTTGAACCCTTCGTGTTTGCATGTAGGGTCGGGTGTCCAGTGCCATGTAAGTGCCGAGGTAATACTGCAGCCCAAGTCTGTGGAAGCCAAGCCAAAGGCCCTCATGCTTGGCTTGCGTGAAGGACAGGTGGTCCTGAGCAGGGATTAGATACCTTAATACGTAGGTTTAGAGTTTAGGGTTTTAGGGTTTAGGGGTCTGTAGGGTTTAGGGCTCAGGGTTTAGAGTCAACATTGTGTTGTCGATTTCCCCTCAGGGACGGTGAACGACTAGATCTGAAAGAAACTCTATGCGAGGAGCCTATGTCCTGTGCTGTTCGGATATCGGGTGCCCTGCGCAGAAACAATACTATTCAGAATTCAGAGCATGTGATGTATTCGGACACCCTCACTGCAGGAGACTCTGACTTGAAACATTCCGCTCCGAAAAATCCTCCTCTAAACTCCCAAGCAACTCAAGCGCTAGCTGACTCCCCCGAAGCTCTGCCTCCAGGGTTCCTGCATGTACTTACTGTCATTTATATGACTTAATTATACATGTCCATAAATGGCAGGTGGGCTTTGGAGCGTTACAGTAACCCTAAACCCAACCCCAATATTCTTTTAAACCCAAACATTAAACCCTTAACCCGAGACCCCGAACCCAAACCTGCCAGCGTCTTACCTTTGGTTAGTAGGGAATGGAGGAGTGTGGTACAATTATGACTACTAGTACTACCATTCTTCCATTCCCTACTACTTGGAGGGTCGGGGGACTTAGTAACTGGTTGCTTTAGGGACTTACTAAGTCCCCCGACCCTACAAGTAACCAAAGGTAAGGCGTGCGAGGCCTCTCGAAGAGCTCCGTCACCTTCTCACGCACCTGCCGTCCGAGATCCGGAGGTGGGCAGGATCGGCAGGATTTAGAGCTTTAGGGTTTAGGGGTCTGTAGGGTTTAGGGCTTTAGTGTTTAAGGTTGAGGGTTTAGGGCTTTAGGGTTTAGGGGTTTAGGGTGTAGGGGTCTGTAGGGTTTAGGGCTTTAGGGTTTAGGGGTTTAGGGTTTGGGGTCTAGGGGTTTAGGGTTTAGGGGTTTAGGGCTTTAGGGGTCGAAGTTTAGACTAGGGCACCTATCAAGGAAATTACAGGGGCCCTTTCATGCTTCTATAGGGGCTTTGTAGGGCTTTACATGCAGAAGTGTTCTTGTAGTGTAAATGCCCGAATAGTTTCCGACATTGTTCTGCAGGGTTCTTCATTGTAACTGCACTATGCGCCAAAACCCTATTCCGCAGTCCGGACCCTGTAATACTATCTCCTTGAACTCCAAGCCCCAAACCCCATTAACCCCAATCCTGTGTCAATGTGCCTTCCGTGCATCGGACAGCTCCTTGAAGAAAAAAGCATGCTCCTGCACGCACTGCGCTGTGCAAGTTCGTCTCTTGTGCAATTTCTGGGCTTCAGCTTAGGGTTCACGCAGGGCTTAAGGCCTCCTTCATCAGAAGGGTTTGGGAATAGGATTAAGTTTGGGGTCCAGGGTTTGTGGCCTGATGTTCAAGGTTCCTGCATCTACAGGTTCTTGGAGTCAGGGTTTCGGGTTTTAAGGTTTAGGGTTTAGGGTTTAAGGTTTAGGGTTTAGGGTTTAAGGTTTAGGGTTTAGGGTTTAGGGTTTAGGGTTTAGGGTTTAGACGCACGAATCAAGGATCTTGGGTGAGTGGCCAGTAGCCGAACTGTTTTCTACCGCCTACTGGGAAGGGATTGCATCGGGGATTGGATCGAGGGGTAACACCGACACTCACTGCATCGGGAAATGCTGAAAGGCGAACATCTTGCCCGCTAAGACGCAGTAAAGCCCCTCCCTTCCCAAGACTTCACCGCAAACAACTGTACTGAGTTACACAAACTGCACATGTCTTGTTGCAGCCACTGACCACTTCCTCCACTCCGGGTGTTCGGAAGGTGTTCGTCTGCGCACCGACGCCATAGATGAGAATGTCCTGCACGGTGGTGGCATGTTGCATCGAAAGCTTCGGTGTGAGTGATAAACATCCATACCTGAGAGCCCATGTACCCAGATAGTATATCATATACGTTGGCCTCAAAGTAGTCCCTATACTAGCCCATGTAGGCACTTTGGGGCCAAAGTATGTTATACTTCGTGGGTAGTTCTAAGTGGGGTTATAAGTTTCCTGATTTTGGTTATACGGTTGATGATAGAAATCCTGCATTACCCATTATAAGGAATATACCATAATTCCCAAAGTTTAGGGTCCTTCGGGTAATGCAGGATTTATATCATCAACAGTAGTTGAACCTACCCGACTTAGAACACAACTTACATGGACACTCAGTGGGTCCCGCGACGATTGACATGAAAGATGTGCAGGGCAAAAGATGGAAAAGATCCTCTACGGACCCAGACAGCCTTATACCTCTTAACTGCGGAGTAATCGGAGTATATATGTCTTAAGCCAAACGTTAAGGCACCCGGAATGCAACGTGAATTCCTCAACTCAGGGCTATGGGGATCTCCGGGGACACTCTGTCAAGTTTACCTGGGAAGCCCTTAACCCTAGACGCCTCCATCTTCGTTTCGCTCATTCGCTCAGCCTTCCCCCTCTAGTAGGTAAACAACATACACTTCGCTGGAAATCCCTATAAAGGAAACCATAATCCCAAAAGAAGAACAAACTGAAAGAGCCCTCCCCAAGAGCCGTGTGCTGCTGAACGATTCGACTCCAGGACACTGGGCTAAGTTCGATGTCACAGGTTTGCCCAGGCTTGGCTTGAGAGCCCGTTTCGCGCGCCGTCAGCGGCGCAGGTCACACCGAGGAGTTTAGGGTTTAGGAGGTTTAGGGTTTTGGAGTTTAGGGGATGAAGGTTTAGGGTTTAGAGGGGCCAAACATAAAGAGAAACAACGAACCCACCTCGGGCTCCAACTAGCTCAACGTACAATATAGGTACTCCAGATCGATTTTTTGTACAAGCCGAAATCCTAAACCACAATCCGTAAACCCTACATAACTATACCCCTAGAGCCATAATAAAACTACTTGTTTAAACATTCTCTTGGGTTTTATATGAACAAAAATAACAATCTTCCTAAGGAGACTATAGAGAAACCCTTGGAGCCCTTCAGGTTATCTCAGGATTGACAGAGCAGCACCAAACTCGCCATGGAAATTGTGAGAAGCCCTAAAAAAGGTTGAGGAGCTCTCTGCGCGAACGATTTTTGGGGATTTCCGGAAATACTCGCTTCTTCATTAACCGGGCCCAATACAGTTCAAGCTTTGAAAGGTGGACCAAGCAAAAAGCTTCAAGATCTGCCATTGGCTATTTAGGTAAATGGATATGCACCTTGAAGGCTTGAAGTGGCAAGCAACCCTAAACCCTAATCCCCCGAAGTCTAAACCCTCAACAGTCAACCCCCCCTAACCCCTAAACAGTAAACATCCCTAAACCCTGAACCTCCACACCCTAAACCCTAACTAAACCCGGGATAACCTACCTTTTTGATGATTTTCTAAGGGAATCATAGTAAGGAACCCTAAACAGGTAGGTTTTTTCATAGTTAAGGTATACCCTGAAGCATACCCGGTCATAGTTGATGTTGAACTCCATCTTGTGGGGCACATCATCCTTGCCGGATTCAACGGGGAAAAGGAGGGACCCTTCATGGGTCCCCCTACCCTATAATGGGCGATAGAATGGGTATATAATAGCTTTATTAAGCGTATATACCTAGGGGTCCTTATTGAGGGTCCCTCCTTTTGCCCTTGCCGGATGCCAGGCTTTTGGCTTTACGGTCGTTCGCTTTGCATTCCAACCCAGACCCCCTGTTGGAGGATCCAAAAAGTAGATCCCTTGATGGGGTTTCCTATACAGTACCTTTAGTAGCATAGGGCCCCAAATCTTTCTAGATCCTCCCGGAAGTCTTGGAAACCGCTGAAACAAAACTGAAACCATGCGGTCCGAACTAGGCCCGGCCGAAGCCCCCAAACCCTAAACCTTCATTAATAAACCCTGTAAACCCTAAACCCCTAAACCCCAAACCCTAAACCTTCAATCCTCAACCCTGTGCTTTTCAGCAGGTTTAGGGTATAGGGTTTCAGGATTTAGGGTTCCAGGGTTTAGGGTTTTAGCGTTTAAGGTTTAGGGCCTGAGCCAGATCCTAAATCCTAAATCTGAAACCCTGAGAGGACATGCCCTGGGGACTTTTGCGTGTAGAAGGCTGAAGCTGTGGAGCTATTCCTATCCGTGTTTTGGCCAAGCCCTTTTCTACACCATAAACCCAATCTGTGAACCTCAAAACATCAGACATTAAACAATGTTTCAAAGCGCCAAACCATCAATATCGGCCTTCTTGCAACCACAGGTCTTGACACTGCAACCTGTCTTACTAGCATCGCAATCCCAAACACTCCAAAACTCCATAACTAAGGAATATCCCGTAAATCGTTTTATAGGGATCCTGCTAGAGTTTCAGGAATATTCCTTCAAGAAAGGGATTTTGGAGTCTCGAGGATTGCGGGCGAGATCCACTCTTGCCATCTTAGCCACTCCCCCGAAGCCGTGACGATGGGCATAGGGCTTTGGGCTGGGGCTCATGCTCAATCATCAGCTTGTGGTCTTCCTCCCTACTTTTTTGTCGGTTCGTATTTTAACCCTAACAAGGAGTATACAGGCATTGTGCAGGGACCCTACAAAAAGTAGGTTCTTGTAGGTTAAGGTTGGTATCCACTCCTTCCTTGGACATCTACTAGGTTCCCAGTAGCCCCGGAATAAGGGCACCCTTTTTCCTACTTTTGGAAGAAGAGCAAGAAGTTACTACAAGTGAACCTAGTCTAAGCATTACTATGGAAACCATGCCGTTGTCCAGTGAGGAATTGTAAGATCAAGCATCAACCTAGCTACCTCAACCCCTAGACCTCCACACAACAGGACAAGACCCCTTTATTGTAGGGTTTTTGTATGGACGAAGGACCCTTTCATTACCCCTTCAAAAAAATGTAGGTCTTGCAGAATCGCCTACATATGCTACCAGCAGGCCGCAGGGAAGTGCTCGTAATCGACATCGCCCGAGAAGTCGGGTGTGCCAGCTCGAGTGCACCTGATCACAGCCAAACTTTTCAAGGTCTGGGGTGAAGGTGCTTACGGTTTACCTGCAGCTCCGAACCATACAAAACACTAGGTTATGACGCGAGACCCCTTATTTGTAGGGTGTAACGTCTAAACAACAAACGGGTATTGAATTTCCATGTAGGTGTCATGTTATGTCAGGAAGAGCAATACACAACGCCGAAGGGGCACGGCATAGTTTCTATGGGCCATCTTGGCCATATCAAAGGAGCCTTTTGACTCTGTGACTGTCGTGGGACATTCAGGCGGCAGCAACAAAGGCATCTCAACACCATCAGAATAACCCAACCTAGTGACCACATTTGTGGGCGGCATCCTCAGCGCGATTCTGCCATATTGATGACGATCTTTTTCTTCGGCATGACCAGCATCATCAACCCCATCATCACTATGACGTGTACTTAGCCCCAACTTGTGCACACGACTCCCAAAATAAAGGCATGAAGCAACAACAAGTTACTGGGTTCGCGTTTGACAAGAACCCAGCAAAGCCAAAGGGGAGACATGCAACAGGTTGCTTCGGGCGTTATCCGCCACTTCACGGAACAAACCCAGGATCCCAAGAAGCCGCAGACCCAAACCGCAGACCCCTTAACCCCCTTAACCCCCTTAACCCCCAAACCCTCAAAAACTTGCAATGTAGAATCATCTATCACATTTTATGATATTATGGGGTCCGGATACATCCCGGGCAGCAAGTTTCAAGCCGCAGGGCCCATTGCCAGCAACGATCCTAGTATAGAAGTCGTCTAAACCAGAAAACTACCATGGAGACTATGGATAAATTCATGCTGGCGCGGCGCTTCACAGTCTTGTTCTCGATATCGATTTCCTCGCACTTGGCCTCCAAGAAATCAGCCTGCCGTACGACAAACGACTACAAAGCGATGTGGTGGGTTCTCGAGGATGGTTGAGGGCTTACGGTAGCGGGTTTCGAAAGTGCATACAGGTCATGGGACTTAGTAAGTAATAAGGATACAAACCGCCAACCCAAACCCTAAACCCTCAACTGTGGATAGAAGATTGCTAGAAGTCGCTGTCAACATGCACCTACCTCATGCACAACTCTAGTTGCTACGCCTCATGATCCTTTGAGTGAGCCCACATAGCAAAAATGACAAAAGGACTCCCACGACGGCGATGATGTCAGGAACCTTTCGTGTTGAGGGCATAGGGTTTAGAGTTTAGTTGTTGAGGGCAAACCCTAAACCCTAAAGCGGGTGTGGAGTGAAGTCTGTCTTCATCATCTCGTCGGCATCACAGAGGTTTCCGATCTAAGTCCAGGTCTGTAAGCACCTCCAGTCTCCATTGCATTTAGTTTTTTTTGTTGTGGTTTTGCAAATTCTATGTTGCAGGGTTAACCCAAAGAGGAACTACAACGGAGATTCAAGGTGTAGGTAGAAGCGCTAGCGCCAAAATCCCCAACCTCCCCTTCTGGCCCTCACGGTTAGCCTTGCTACCACCATCGCCGAAAATGCTACGATCACACCAATACGGCGCGACGATCGTCACCACTCTCAGCATCATCATGATCGTCATCGTCATCACCATCATCAACATGATCGTCATCGTCGTCACCATCATCATCATCGTCATTATCATCATCATCACCATCACCATGACCATGATCATCACCCTCATAAGCTGTCATAGCATGCCAAAATAAGCTGATCCTCATCACCGACTGCAGCAACGCCCAGATCTTCCCAATCCCTAAACCCAAAGCCAACGTAACTTGCCAAGAGCCCTACAGCCTAAACCTAAACCCCCAACTCCTAAAACCCCGAATACTAAGCCAACAGCCGTCTTGTGCCTTGCCCTTGATCACCCGCCGGATAGGCGTGACAATGGAGCGCCTCTGCAGGGCATTATCCGAGGCTTTGCCATGGCTTTCCTAGGGTTTATTTTTAGGTTTTAGGGTTTAGGGGTTAAGGGTTTTTTCCGGGTTCAGGGTTTAGGGCTTCGGACGGTTTCGTGTTTACAGTAGGAGCTATAGTATCAGCTATAGGGTTGGGGCACCTGAACTGGACTTTCAGGCGTTGCGTTGGCTGTCCCATAAGCGGAATTACCTATAGTCTCCATTGTGGTTCCTTTTTGGGGTTACCTTATAGGATCCTTAATATATAATTGGTTAAACCCAAAAAAAGGAACTAATTACAATGGAGACTATGGGTATTCTATGATTTAGGATGGTTCAGTGTTTAAGAGCTGTAGGGTTAGGGAACCTGAAATGTACTTTGAGGGGTTGCATTGGCTGCCCCACAGGGGGAATTATTCGATGGTTTAGGCTTCTTTTGAGAAATTATTTTACGCCTAAGCTTCTTTACAATTGAGGGCTACACTCTGCGATTTAGCATATGGGCCCAGTAGCCAGGGTGGATAGACTTAATTAACATATGGGAGTTTCCGTTAAAATAGGAGACCCTAATATAGCACCCTAAATAGTAGGATTCTTATTATAGGGACCCCAAAATAAGGTATTTGGGGGGGTCCTTATAATAAGGATCCTACTATTTAAGGTACGTTATTAGGGTTCCCTATTTTCTGAAACTCCCATACGGGGTACTAGAAGGGCCTTGGTTCGGGGTCAGGGTCTAAGGCCCGACGCCTAAGCCTTAAGTTTCTAGTAGGATGCCCAGTAACCTAGGAAATAAAAAAGGGCTCCCTTTTTGGTATTGGGTAACTTTATGAGGAACCAAGGACTGCAAAAAGGGAGTTCATGGATAGTTATAAGTAGGGTTATAAGTCCCCTGATATGGGTTATAAGTATAGTTGCCCTACTTATAGCCCCACTTGTAACCACCCATGAACCCCCAAGTAAAACCCTAAAAACCCCAAACCCTGAACTCCAAACCCTAAACCCTAAACCCCAAACCCTAAACTCCAAACCCTAGGCCCAGTGGGTTTTGGGGGTTTCAGCCCAGCTGCTCTTCAATCGAACCCATTGTGCTGGCAGGAAGAAGCGGCGTGTACCTTAGGGCCCCAAGAAAGCGCTCAAAAGGGCACAGGGTTTCCCTGGGTTCCTGTGAAGGGTCCCCTTTTAAAGGGATCTATAGGGATTCTGTATAAGCGTGTAGGGTTTAGGGCCTATTTGGAGGTCCATGGGTAGTTTGTAAGTGGGATTCTAAGTAGAGTAAATATACTTATAACCCATCAGGAGACTTACAACCCTACTTATAACGACCCATGGACCTCCAAGTAGCGTTTAAGGTTTCCGATGTAGGGTTTGAGGAATTGTTTCAAAGGTGGGCTTCGAGTTTGCTGCTACGAGAATGGCACTTGGCGATCGTTTCTTGACAGCTGTTCTGACTGTCATAACCGGATGACGAATACGGGAGGTTCAGAAAACAAGGGATCTCAACGTCCCCAAAACTCGAGGCCGAACTTGACGGCACGAACCCTTACGGGAGCCCCATTACAGAACCCTTAACGGAGCCTTATAGACCCCTCAAGGTACCCTTATAGATCCCTTAAAGGATCTTTAGAAGTGCCTTAAAGGAGCCCGTTGAAGGCTCTAAGAAAGCGGCACTGGAGCCTGCGAAGCCCTCCCAGGGATCTGAAAAAGAGTCGCTCGTTCGATTCGAGCAGGGGTGCCAACTGAGTCTTCTAGCAATGCAAAGATAACTGAGTGTATGTATGCATGTATTGAGTGTATACATGTATGTATATATATATATATATAACCAACAAATAAAACAAATACACCTACACACAGATACGTAGATATGTATACATGGTATTCACACACACAGGAAAGGAACAGTAATGATAAGAACGGCAAGAAGAATACCCCCAAACTACTAAACCTTACTATACACATGTCGTAACCTAGGTCTGAACACGGTTTAGGGTTTAGGGTTTAGGGTTTAGGTAAACCCCGACTAATGTCATAGGCGGTGAAGCTGGGCGGCAGAAAGAAGTTCCTTGGCGACACCTCAGTTTCTGGAATCGCTGTGCACGAGCGGTGAGAAGATCAGGTCCACGGGATTAAGGGAATCTAGACCCGAGGGGCTTGTAAGGGAAACTAAACCCAAAACAAGGGAATAAGGGCCTACTCTGATTCCTAGGAAATTGCATTCTCTTGAGGCTTTCCTTTATCGGCTTGCGGACTTTTTTCTGTGGGTACTGATGGCTGAGGTTTCTGGGGTTACTGTCGGTTTCCTTGTTCTTGGGAAGGGGTTCAGCGCTTTAGGGCCGTTGGCGTGCTCGTAGAATTGTTTTTTAGGGATAGGACGGAGTTGGAGATTCGGAAAATCAGGGACCACAATATATAGTACCCTAAACAGTAGGATCCTAATTACAAGGACCCCAAAATAAGGTACTCCTCAATTTTCGAGAAAATTGGGGGTACCTTGTTTTGGGGTCTTTATAACAAGGATCCTACTATTTAGGGTACTATATTAAGGTACCCTATTTTCGGAAACTCCCATGTATCACCGTGACAGGTCCAGGACCTCAAGGAAGAGATCGAGCGTCACAACATGGCTGAGCTCCGGCCCCACAAATCCCCAAAACTTAGGCCTTAAAGGGACCCTATTCTCGGGAAAAGTTCCGTCAAAAGGACTCTGGCTCTGAACTTAAACTTCGCAAGGCGCTGCTTGGCTTACCCAAAGGCCCCAAAGTAGTTCCTTTTTGGGGGGCTCCTATATAGAACCCTACAAGGTAATCCCAAAAAGGAGCTACCGTGGGGTCTTTGGGTGGGGTTTAGGGTTTCAGGTGTAAGTTGGCTACAGATCTCTGCAATTGCACAATTCCTGGGTTTTCACTCAAGGGCATCGGCGGAAACACGCCTAAATCATCCAGATCATTCGAACTTGCCGGTTTAGGTGTAAAGCCCAAACCTTAAATCATGCGCCCCAAAGCCAAAGTACGGGGCTAGTTTAGCCCATTAAACCTTCCTTGGCCGGGTTGCAAGACTTGCATGGAGTCTCGGGATGAGTAGAGCTTCCGGGTCCAGCAGCTTCGGGTCTAGGGAATACTATACCCCCCATAGAACCATAATAGAAAATACTTTTTTAAAAAATCTCTTGGGTGTTTATATGAACAAAACTAAAGAAATCCTAAGGAGACTATAGCTAAGGAGTTCCGCAGTTGAGTGCATGAGAGCTCAAGCCGTAAGCCGTAGCCCTGCAATCATCTCGTGCCAAGCATCCACGGTGATGTCGTAGTAGTTGGAAATATCTTCCTGAGCATCAACTAATACAGGGAGCCCTGACAGTTCTACAGTGGGCTCGGAAATGCCTGGGGACACTTTTCAGTCATCAGGTTAAGGTTTGAGGCTGAGGGCTCAAGGCCAGGATTTACGGTATTGGTATGAAGGCCTGAACATATGGCAATATAGTTCCGTGGTGTTCCTGAATCTGATCATTAAAGCCCCAAGCCCTTCTTCCTAATTGTTGAGACCCAGCGGGTGCCCGCTAGATCATGAATTGGGATCTTCGGAAACACGCGGCAAACTTTGCAAACCCTAAACCTCATAGGGATCCTTAGGGGTGTGGGGGGAGGGGGGGTAGGGGGCCTTAAGGCCCATAATAAGGACTAATAAGGCCTATTTAACGAAATATAGTCACCTACACCCCTCCCCCCTACACCCCTAAGGATCCCTATGATAAACCCCTCCCTGAGCCAAAGCAGAATACAACAGTGGCACATGTACTGCAATGTACTGCAAATTGGTTTTGAGGAATGCTGAAGCATGGTTCCGTCAAGTAGGAACCATCAAAACAGCGCCTAGATCCTACGGTTGATGGTATACATCCTGCAGTACCCATAATAAGGAATATACCATAATTCCGATAGTTTAGGGCCCTTAAGGTCTAGACCCATGAATAGCTCAGGAATAAAAAAAAATGCTTTGTTGTGTTAAAGGGGGTTATAAGAGAACCTAGACTCCCAAACAGGGAATGAGGGCCTATTCTGGGTCCTAGGAGGTATTGCAGGGTTTATATCATCCACACTAGGTCCCTCCAGCACCCAAGCTCCTGAAGTTCGAAAGCTGACAAGCGCTGAACCAACAGAACGGACCCAAAGGCTCCATGTACCCATATAGTAGGTACTTAGGCCTTAAAGTACCTATATAGGGACCCCTTTAAGGCCTAAGCACCTACTCTATGGGTACATGGAGCCTTTGGGGTAAGAACAAGACACACCCAAAACCCCTAAAGCCACCCAAAAACGAACCCAGAAGCCCTATACGCCAGACTAAAGACACACCCAAAAGCCCAAAATCCCGGAAGAAACCGAACAACCGACAGCCGAAAAAGGCCCAAACCTGAAACCCCTAAACCCCAAACATAAGGCCTACCTATAGTCTCCGTTGTAGTTCCTTTGTGGGGCTACCTTATAGGATCCCTAATATATAATTGGTTAAACCAAAAAAGGAATTACAATGGAGACTAAACCCTAAACCCTAAAACCCCAAATCCTAAACCCTAAAACCCTAAACCCTAAAGCCGAGGGGCTGAGAGACCCTGGAGGAAGGTCACAGAACCCCAGCCGGTGCCCAGAACGAGAACCTGCGCCAATCTAGGAGGAGCTTTTAAAGCCTTCGAAAAATATTAGTAGGTAAGATCCTCTTAAGCCCAATAACAGCAAATATGTAATGTCCCAAAGCCCTATTTAGTAATGGTCTAAGGCGTTAGGGCAGTTGAGGGGTTTTGGGAGTAGGGTTGAGTCCAGGGGTTAACGGATAATCGTTGAAGGCTTCAGAGCAATTTAGGGGCTTTGGGATTAGGGATAATCACCTAATCTGGGTTAAAAGTATAGTTGCCTTACTTCTTATCCCACTTATAACTACCCATGACACCTCCAAGTTATAGTAAGTATAGTTGTCTGGGGGGATACCATTACTGACTATTCCAACCCCTAGATTAGGTCATGAGTGCGAGGTGTCCGTACTGAAAGCCGGAAGTTCATTGAGTTCCCGGCATTTCAGATGTGCACAGGCCGCCCTAAACCCTACCTTAACCGTAACCTACCAAACCCTACTTTTTTGTAGGTTCTTATGGTAAACCCTAATATGGAATTTATCGGGTTAAGGTAAGGCCTAAGCCCTAAGGGACTTCCCGGCCAACGAACACACAACAAGCAAAACCACGCATCAGGTGTGATCCAGGCTACAAGTCATGCGATCGGCATTAAATGTCTTAGGCCATGTAATGCCGATCGCATGACTTGTAGCCTGGAGGGTTAACCCTAAACCCTAAACCCTAAACCCTTCTGAAGGATCCTGAAAGAAACTCCTAATCAGGTTTAGGGCTTATAGGGTCCTAATCCCGTAGATACACGATACCTATAGTCTCCATCGTAGTTCCTTTTTGTGGTTAACCAAAATCTCTACTATAGGGTCCTAACCATAAAACTGGTTAACCAAAAAAGGAACTACAATGGAGACTATAGGTACGGTCTTTTTGTTCAAAATGAACCCGCAGTACCTCTGTTATGTAGTTCCCTTTTTCTGCAAAAGTGTGCCATTTATGGGTACATGGACCCTCAGTTAGCCACCTTTGAACCCTAAACCCTGAACTGCAAAAACCCTAAAGCACCCAAACCCTACAGCTCCATAGCCCTGAAGCCCTAAACCCTAACACAGGGCCCCGAAAAGGCACATAACAAAAAGTGAGGATAGGGATATCCCAGATAAAACTCCTTATAATGAAGCCCAATAAGGTAGGGGATATCCCTACAAGATGCTTGTATTTGGGTCCTTTTTGGGTCCCGAATAACACTGTAACGTTCTAAAACCCTGAAACATCATGCACAATAGCTTGGTTTTCAGGGTGCCGGGGCCTTGGGCTTACGGCCACTCCGATGTTCCGCAGGCCTCTCAGGAAAGCAGCAAACGGTTCTTCGGAGGGTATGAGTTAAGGGGTTATAAGGGGTCAGTTTTGCTGTGGGCGTTACAGCGTTGCTGTTGTGGCGGTTGTTGTTGTTGGTGGTGGTGTCGGTATCTATGTAATTTCCTGTGCTGTTGGTGGTTGCTCGGGCTGCAGATCCTTTGCAGAGGCACTAAAAAACCTGCAGTCGAAACCTGACAAAGGAAACACACTGAAAAGGATGATTGCTCAATTCCTCATGCATAGGCATAGAACATCTCCCATATCTTCTTCATGCAAACACAAACAAATGCATGAGTACAGAGATACTAACTGACAGACTAACAAGCCCGTTCATCAAATAGTACTATGAACCTCGGTATTGATGCATGTTCACTGTCAGACACAGACACACGGACGCAAAAAGACAGACAGACAGACAGACAGACAGACAGACAGACAGACAGACGAACAGACAGACAGACAGACAGACAGACAGACAGACAGACAGACAGACAGACAGACAGACAGACAGACAGACAGACAGACAGACAGACGAACAGACAGAAAGACAGACAGACAGACAGACAGACACAGAGACACAGAGACACGGAGACACACGGACACACAGACACAGAGACACAGAGACACAGAGACACAGAGACACAGAGACACACAGACACACACACACACACACACACACACGTACACATACACCACTTGCTTCTAGCAAGATGGTTGTAACAGCCCAGCCAAACCTGTCTCAATTCCCACAAGGTGCGGCCTGGAATCTTCTTGGTTGAATTCAAGCGAAACTCGCTGAAGGTTGTGGGTTTGGGGTGTTGACTTTAAGAAATGCCCCCCACAAAAACCCTGAACACAAACCTTCCCGATCCCTTCAAAGCAGGCACCCGCCTTCCCTCCGACATGGTCTTGATTCCAGCGGCCACACCCGCCGCTCCAGCCCCGGCAGCCGCAAACTTCCCTGCCGCAGCAACCTTGGCCGCAGCCGCGGCCGCGGCGACCACAGGGCCCACAGCATGCACCTGGGTGCCGCGGCTGCGTTGCTGGCGATGGAGGTATCGGGCCAGAAGGGCGACTGATCCGGTAAGGGCCAGTGCGCTGGTATTGCCTTGGCTGGCCCGGCTGCCCTGGGACTGGTTGGGGAGGGGGAGCTCCGCCTGTCTCAGCGTACTGCGCACTTTGGGCGCGATGGTATGGTGTGAGACGGTGAAGCAAGCCGACGGATCCATGCTGCCCACCAGGACTATCCTCGCTTTTCGGGTTAAATAAATGCTGCTGTGGGCCAGAAGGTCGGAGGCATCACTGACGAGCCCAATGCCCAAAGAAGGATTGCCGAGAGAATCTATTTCAATTCATAAGCCCACTATGAAATCGATAACAGGATGGTGCACCACTGGAGGCGCGGTCCAGAAACACTGACGACGAGGTCACACAAGCTTGAAGTTGCAAGTGTCACTGGCAATCGCCAACAGCCAACCCTCAAAAAATCACAAGTCCAAGGGACCAACACCCTAATTACACTGTAAACATCTGACGCGCAAGAACAGTACCGAGCACCCTACATCCATTCGCCTCTTGTGAGTAGACGCTTCCACAATCCTAAAAACCCAGAGACTCCAATATCCCTTAATTACCCTTAATTAAGGAATACACCTTAAATTAGAAGAGGATCTCTAATCTGATTTAAGGAATATTCCTTAATTAATTATAAGGGATATTGGAGTCGCTGGGAACGTCAATCTCGGGCACACCCCAGACGGAAGTTTAGTTGCGCCTGATTGACTTTCTAGGCTATGGGGTTCTGGGGCTGCGAGGGGTTAGACTTCAACGCTTGGAGTGGTGGCAAAAGCCCTATAGCTAGACACTATATAACCCTAAACCCTAAACCCTAAACCCTAAAACCCTAAACCCTAAACCCTAAACCCTAAACCGTTCGAAAACTTTGAGTACTGCGCAAGATGGCAGGATGCCAAGCACGGGCCCCAGAAATCCCAGGAGCTTGTAAACCCAGAGACTCCAAGAGACCCCCTAAATCAGGAACATAGCTTAGAAGCTGCCTCCACCCTGTAATAGTGACTATAAAAGGATTATATATCAGGGCCCTATTATATTCCTATTATACCACTATTGCAGCGTGGGGGCCCCTTCTATAATCTAGCCTTAAGATAGGGTTCCGTTCCTTTAAGGGCTCCTTTGGAGCTTTTTACAATGCCCATATACCCCTTGATTAACAAAAATCCCTTGAACTATGGTAGAAACCCTAATATGAAGAACCAGAGAGCGAAACTCGCCTCGATTAAGGAATATGCCTTAAATCATGGGAGCCTCTTTTTTTTGAGCTCCTTTTCTGCAAAGCCCGACTGTGCCTTATTAATTTTTATGATTTAGGGTATAAATTCCTGAATTAAGGGGTTTTAGGGTTTATAGGGTCTTTATGATTTAAGGTACATTCCTTAAGGTGTCTCTGGGAACCTGGGTCTCTAACATGGAGACCCTAAACCCTAACCCCTAAACCCTAAACCCTAACCCCTGAACCCTAAACCCTGAACCTGGGTCTCTAACATGGAGACTGAATGCCGGCATGCAGATGTAAGGCTCCAGCACCAGGTCGCGAATCGCCGAATCCCTCTGGCACACCACGGTTTGGGGTTTAGGGGTTTAGGGTTTAGAGTTTAGGGGTTTAGGGTTTAGGGTTTAGGGGTTTCGGAATTAGGGTTTAGGGTTTAGGGTTTACCTTGACCCTGAATAACCTACCTTTTTAGGGATCCTTATTATGATTTCTCCATATAAGTCCTTGAAAATGTAGGTTCTTTCGGGTTTAGGGCTTACGGTTGAAAGCCGAACGAATCAAAGCCTAGACTTACAAGAGTAACCTACGAATAGAAAAGGGTGCCCTTGTTTGTTTAAAGGGGCGAACCTGAAACCTAAAGAAAGGGAATAAGGGCCTAGTTTAAAGCCGAACGAATCAAGCTTCAGTAGAAAGAAGGACTAAGACGGGGGCAAATCGAAATTGCCACAACAATCCCACCCAACTGCCGAAATGCAAAACTTCTATTGCCGAGTCCCACAGAGCTTGCACTGACAAAGTCATGGCGAAATCTATGCAGCAAGGCAACGCGCACACTTGGGTGGTGGCGGTGGTCTCGTTGGTAGAGTAGTTGGTTATGTTGCAGCGGTTATCACGGTTGCCATGATGATATCCTGATGATGACCCATACTCGTCGCTACTGCCACCATTGTCCTACACTACGTCGCGATGGACAGTTCCGTGGTTAGGACAGTTCCGTGGTTATCCTCATATCCTTCACCAACACACTCACCAACATTATCAGCATCATCACCATCAGCAGCAGAAGCTCGTAACATGAACAGCGTTCTCATCATGACATACTGCCTGCACCTTCGACACTAAACCCTAAAGCCTAAACTTCATCTTCGCGTGATCTCCATGGCTACAGGTGCAAGCCTGGCATGCCCTGTAGCGGGAGCCAGGCTGCTAATCAGGATATGGGAGTTTCCGAAAATTAGGGGTATTTTGGTCCTGAAAATTAGGATCCTATTTTAGGGTGCTATATGAGGGTCACCTATTTTCGGAAACTCCCCTTTCCCAAGGTCCCGAGGCAAAAGCCGTAAGCCCAAAGGCAAAAGTCAAAGAGTTCAGGCTTTCGGATTTCGGGCGTAGGGGTAATACATAGGCTTTAGGGTTTTATTCGGGTTTATGAGGGCTATATTAAGGTTTATTAGGCTTTAATCACCATGATAAACACAAGAACCACAATTACAAACATCATTGTCATCGTAAGGACGTCATGAGGAAACCCTCCGCTGTAATTCTAAACGGCGGCCTGTGCAATGCTACCAACATCATCGAGATAACAACGAGCAAGAAGTTTCTCATCGACGCGAGGCTCATCATCGCCATACTGTTTTTCTTCCTTCAGAAGATTTCGGTTATCTGTGAAAAGCCTGGTACACCGTGTAGCGGGAAACACGCTGATATTCAGGACAGCCCCAGGCCCCACGTTAAATCCGGGAGGCGAGGAGCCAAGCCAAAAGTAACACGAAAAGTGCTCACGAGAGCGACCTACGATTTTAAAACATCTGGGACCCGCCCCTTCACTTCTTCCCTTTCCTCTTGCATTCGTCGGCCCCGTAATGCGTTCTACCCACTACCCCACCTCCACATTTCCCAAGCTCTGTCCAACATGTTGTGTCGGTCTCGTCGTATGCTAAAGCCTTCTCAAAGCATTGCTTGCGACTGACGTCTGTGCCATTGACTGTGCCGCCGCCAGCAAGACCAAGATTACACCAGGCCTTTGCAAAGGTCTCGTCAATCTCCAGAGCCTTTTTGTAGCAGTGCTTCTTGTCGTAGTTCCGTCCATTAACGGTGCCTCCGCCCTGAGTTCCAAGATTGTTCCATGCCCATGCGAAGTCCTCGTCGCTTTCCAGAGATCTTTGGTAGCACTCTTTCTTGCTGAGCGCCTTTCCATTGACTGTCCCACCGCCCTGAAGACCCAAATTCAACCAGGCCTGTGCATAGGTCTCGTCATTCTCAAGAGCCTTTTGGTAGCATTGCTTCTCGTCGTAGTGGCTTCCGCTGACGGTGCCACCACCAGCAACACCGAGACTTAACCACGCTTTCTCGTTGGTCTTGTCTTTCTCCAAAGCTTTCTGGTAGCACTGTTTCGCGTCGTAATTCTTTCCATTAACGGTGCCACCGCCCTGAGTTCCAAGATTGTTCCATGCCCATGCGAAGTCCTCGTCGCTTTCCAGAGATCTTTGGTAGCACTCTTTCTTGCTGAGCGCCTTTCCATTGACTGTCCCACCGCCCTGAAGACCCAAATTCAACCAGGCCTGTGCATAGGTCTCGTCATTCTCAAGAGCCTTTTGGTAGCATTGCTTCTCGTCGTAGTGGCTTCCGCTGACGGTGCCACCACCAGCAACACCGAGACTTAACCACGCTTTCTCGTTGGTCTTGTCTTTTTCCAGAGCTTTCTGGTAGCATTGCTTCTTGTCGTAATTCTTTCCATTGACGATGCCACCGCCCTGAGTTCCAAGATTGTTCCATGCCCATGTGAAGTCCTCGTCGTTTTCCAGAGATCTCTGGTAGCACTCCTTTTTGCTGAAAGCTTTTCCACTGACGGTGCCACCACCATCAAAGCCCAGCTTGAACCAGGCCATCGCGTAGCTTGCGTCGTTCTCCAACGCCTTCTCGCAACACTCTTTCTTGCTGATTGCCTGTCCATTGACGATGCCGCCAGCCTTACCTGCAAGCATGTACCACGCCTGTGCATTGGTGTTGTCGATCTCCAGTGCCTTCACGAGGCACTCCTGAAAGGTGTCGCTGTGGACGATTGAACAGGTGTGATTAGAGATCACACGCTGTCAGCTGCACGCCCCTTAAAACCATAATTAAGCATTCTTTTGGGTTTTATATGAACAACAACAACAAATAAGTCCTGAGGAGACTATAGTCAGTGTTACAGTGGTGTATCGTGGCAAACAGGGTGTCCTGGTATGCGGTCCCGTGCTGCTACACTCCTCCCCACTCCAACCCCCCTCGCCATAACATGCCCTCGCCCTTGGGCTGTCTGCGACAACCGTAACAAGTGTGGAGCACTTTGGGGCCACGATCCCGGTGACAGTCGTCATTTTCGGAGGATGGGATCGTCACGGCGACTTCGAACACAGGAAACGATACTCTTTGGGATTAGACGTGTTGGTGTCACGTTACTCGTGACTTTCGCAAATCTTCAGCATGCGGCTCAACTTCGCCTGTCAAGCATAGCAACTGTAGTCACTGCAGTCGCCAGGTGGTCGTGGTTTAGGGGTCCAGAGTCTAAGTTTCATTCGTTAGGGCTTAGATTGCATGATTGTCGTTGTTTTAGCCACCACGCAAAACTGCACCAAGCTCAATTGGGGATACCACAGGAGCGCCACGTAACACCAAGGGAAAAGGAGAACACCGCCGCAGGTGTAGTGACAATCACGCTATCAGGATGACAATATGACTAACAAATAGCCCCAACCCTAGCTCTGCTAAAAACACCGCGACCATGCCCGAGCTTGCTAACTGCCAGCTTACAGGGCGGGCGTATAGGAAAATGGAGCGTAACGGTTGATGATAAAAATCCTGCATTACCCATAATAAGGAATATACCATACTTCCCATAGTTTAGGATCCTTAAGGTTATGCAGGATTTATATCATCAACAGAAGTACGCCCCTTGCAACATGCGACGAGCCAGACCCGATTGCATCATCTGGTCGCCTGCATGCTGGAGCAGCGCACAACATGCATGCGCGTACAGGTATGTATACATGTCTGCACATATTGTTTACATATATATATATATATATACACACACATATACAAAATATGTATGCTCACAGATAAAAAACTGCATAAACCAAATAATTGGATGTATGTATACATATATATATGTACATACATACATGGTATACATAAACATACATATATATATACACATACATATATATATATATACATATATACATACATCTATCTATATATATATATATAGACATATATGGATGGAAACAGTGCCGGCGTTCCTGTCGTCCCCCAAACCAAACACCACTCAGAAATTCTCATATGGGAGGGGCAAAACAGCCGACATGAACTTAAAGAAAACGACAGGCACCACACCACACGGCGGCGCGGGCGGAGGGTGGGTGTGGGGAAGGGGCTCACATGATATATGCTATGCACCCCGTTTCAATCCCATTCCGTCCTCTGCGGAGTAGGACCTGCCGTCACGTTCGCCTCCACCCTTCTTGGCCAAAGATCTCCACGCCTGTGAGGAGTTTCGAAGGACCCGAGCTCATCATCGCTAGCTTGAAATCTTGACACTCAGACGCGCTAAGCCACATAAGCCTGAAGCAAGTCAAGGTCACAATACAGGGACCTAAATAATCACCAATTCTGTTTTGGGGGATCCATATTGAAATTATAGTATATGCCGCAAAACCCTATTATAATCATTAAGGCCCCTCTCGTACCGAAACCGGTGACTCCGAAAGCACGAAGGATCCGGGAGCCTCGGACTCCTTCTTCGAAGCGTCCTGGGTTGAGGGTCTACTTGGAGGGTCGGGGGACTTAGTAACTAAAAGGGGTTCCTTTAAAGGGATCTATAGGGATTCTATAAGGGTATAGGGAATAGGGGGACTTAGTAACTGGTTATTTTGGGGACTTAGAAGTACCATAACCCCAATTAGGGTCCCTTTTAGGGTACTTATAAGTCTACTTACTACCTACTTACTAAATCCCCCGACCCTCCAAGTAGGATCATTACAGACCGAAATTTCGGAAAACAAACGATATGGACATACATAGCTACCTGTAAGGTGTACGTATGGGTGTATATATGTTGGTATTATATACCTACATGTGTGCATCTTTGTATATCTATATACACGTCTAATGGTTTATGTACATTACATGTATATATGTCCAGAGAAGAAATGAAGAACGAGAGGGGGAGGGCCCGAAGCGGTACCGACAAAGAGTCCAAGCGCTGCTTATTTGGAGCTTCGTGGTTTGAGGCGCGATCGTGGAACCCAAAGAGTCCAAATTACAGCAGGGTTCAGGGTTTACGGTTTCGGGTGTGCTATACACTTTGGGGGGTCCAAATATGTCCATAAACTAACTATATTGGTACTTGGCTCCCTTGAGCAAAGGAAGGAACACCCGTGTTGTTGAGTGACAGTGCGATAGAGTCAGAGTAGTTGGCAAACCGCGCGACTACATCAACCATGGCCCACTCACCCGCGTTGGCTTACGTACATGCATACATATGTATATATATATATATATATATATATATATGTATGCATGAACACATATATATATATATATACAGACAGATATACACACCTATATCATGATACTTACCTACTTGCTTGCGTACCTAGTAGCCTCAAGCAACATACAACGGCGCACATCCATCCATCCATCCATCTATCCATCCATCCAGCGGTTAATTTGTCCTTTTGTTTCTTCCAACCCATCATTCGCTCGTGCATTCATTCATTGATTCATGCATTCATTCACTCGTTCATTCATATAATCAGGAAGCTGTTCAAACTTTCATTTCATTTGTATTCAGTCAATTGCTCAGACTTTCATTTCGAATCCTTCGTCTCCTTCATGTGGTTCGTTTAACTGCATTCAGTCAATCAACCAACCAATCAGTAATTCCTTCGTTCCTGCGTTCCTTCACCCATTCAGCCGTTCAATCATTCAATCATGTGTTCATCCGTTCGTTCGTTCAGTCTTTGGTCTTTGGCTCAATAAATGCATTCATTGTTCGTTCGTTCGTTCATTCATTCAGTCAGCCAGGCAGTCAGTCAGTCAATCCATTCGTTCATTCGTTCATCCGTTCACTCATTCACTCATTCATTCATTCATTCCTTCCTTCCATTCATTCATTCATTCCTTCCTTCCTTCATTCGTTCGTTCATTCATTCATTCATTCATTCCATTCCATTCATTCATTCATTCATTCATTCCATTCATTCATTCATTCATTCCATTCATTCATTCATTCATTCCATTCATTCATTCATTCCATTCATTCATTCATTCATTCCATTCATTAATTCATTAATTCATTCATTCATTCATTCATTCACTCATTCACTCATTCACTCATTCACTCATTCACTCATTCAATTCATTCAACTCATTCAATTCATTCATTCATTCATTCATTCATTCACTCATTCATTCATTCATTCATTTATTCGTTCATTCATTCATTCATTCATTCATTCATTCATTCATTCATTGATTCAAGTCATTCATTTCACTCATTTCACTCATTCACTCATTCACTCATTCACTCATTCACTCATTCACTCATTCACTCATTCACTCATTCACTCATTCACTCATTCACTCATTCACTCATTCACTCATTCACTCATTCAACTCATTCATTTCATTCAATTCATTCAATTCATTCAATCATTCATTCATTCATTCATTCATTCATAACTTCAACAAATCATTGCTTCATTCAGTTCACAAAGTCGCTCAACACCCGTTCCACCCATCCACTCATGCGTTAAAAAACGCATCCATTCATGGCTTACGTACGTACGTACATACATGCATAGCGCTGCACGTTTTGGCATACACGCACGCACACAAACTGACATACAGAGAGGCAGGCAGACAGGCAGACAGACGAACATTCACTTCCTCTTTCCTTCACACATTCATGCAGCATCTCGGAAGCGATCCAGGTTCCTAGACCACCCGAGCCTGCCGGCAATTACAATCTGTGCATTCCAAGTGTCAGCATCCGTTGCTGCAGCTCGAGAGACCACTTCAGGTTTTCCCTGGCATTCGGAAGGTAAGGCAACATCAAGCAAGACGTGCACAGACCGATGGTACTGGCCAAGAAATGTCAGACAAGCAATAACCCGTGCACGCCATCATGCCTCCATGCACAACTTCCGAAGAACAGGAGACTGGGTTGTGCTCTAAACCCCTAGAAATGTATTTATGATTAGTTTCCCTTTTATAAGGATATAAGGGAAATTAACAATTATCCCAAAGCCCAACCCAGGAGATCATTAGACCCACATCTGCCTTCTCGGGTGCCTTGCTCCCAGGGCCAAGAAGGCCGGGGAGAAGCGGCATTATGCGGTGGTTCTGGGATGTCGACGGGTCCTGACCCAAAGGCTCCATGTACCTTTATAGTAGATACCTAAGCCTTAAAGGGGTCCCTATATAGGTACTTTAAGGCCAAAGTATATACTATATGGGTACATGGAGCCTTAGGGTGAGGGCCGTGCATCTGAAACGTGGGAGGTCGTACGAGTAGCTTAACCTTGGGCTGCTCCACTACGACCAGCCTTCTAGAGAGGAGTACATGAGCATTCTACTTGGAGGGTCGGGGGACTTGGTACCTGGTTATTTTAGGGACTTGTAACTACCCTAACCCCAATTAGGGTCCCTCTTAACTTAGGGAACTAAGAAGTCTTCTTACTAAGTCCCCCGACCCTCCAAGTGCTGGGGCGAGTCGAATTCTACTGCACATATTGGACCAGCCTAACCCCTGCGGAACATAACAGGCCTGCTGACCATGCCCGGCAGGGCTGACCCCTTGGCGCAGTTCAGCTGCAATCCTGCAGGCAATATCACGCTCGCCTAACTTCCGGCAGTCCACGTACACTCTGCTGGGTGGGAAAGCCATTGCTGAAAGCCCCGTGCCCTTGCCCAGCTTGTCGTGCGGATGGTCTTCGCCGCTTGGTGGCTCTGGGGGCCAAGGATCATCGCAGACTCGAAGAGGCAGGATGCGAAGGTCGTTACCATGGGCAAATTTGAGCTCTTCGAACGAAGAGTATTTGGAATCCGTGACCTCCGCATAGTGCGATGTACACACCGAAAGCAGCACTCCTTTGTTCTTCTTCATGTGGCCGAGATAAGCCATAGTGTCGTCTCCGAAATCATCGCCAGCACCCGCATCCACTATGAACACGCGATAGCCGCTTTCGTGAAGAAGACGGTGAACTTCGCGGAACTTTCGCTCAGTCTCGCTTCCGTCGAACCTGGCCGAAAACATTGCTGGCAAAGAGCCGGCACCATCAGGTATGAGCGGATAGGACTGATCTGTAATGAACTCTTGGTCGGTAGACACGGGGGCTGCGCAGCATGCTGCTAGAAATCCAGGCTCGCTCATGCTCCTGAGGCAGCATCCAGCACAAGATTCGGGATGACAAACCATACGGGTCCATGTACCAATATAATTAGTAGGTAGGTTCTTAGTAGATATTTGGGGCCGACAAATATATACCATATTGTTACTTGAACCCTTTGGGAAACAACCTAAGGGCCGAAACTGATATCAGGTGCTTTAATGTTGCACCGTGTTCAGTGGGGGACCCCAGCCCCAATTACTGCTCGGCAAGTGGTGCTGTAGAGGGGGATGGGCTCTTTGCAGGGGCATGGGTCCTGGGGCTGTACAGGCCGATAAGCTTTTCAGAAGAGTGTGTGGCTGGTGCATCCCGGCACTGTAGACGCAGATAGTGGGTGTTCGCTGCACGTTTGAGAGTGCAGAACTCACTGTAGTACACTTTGCAATACAGCAGTACCGTGCTCAGTAGTAAAGTAGTTCTAAAGCTAAGGGGTGCCTGAACTTGCCTACAAGGGTTCAGGGGGCTCCAAAACCTCGAAGCCTAACCCCGATCACTTCAAGGGAACTACCAAGACCAAACCCTTCATGTTGCATACGTTTCTCATCATCCTACACTCCCACCCCAAACCCGAAACTCTACACTCCCTCCCACAACCGACGAAACCTGAGGTCTCACCTGCTAAAAGGCGATGCCTCCTGCCTCTTGCGATCCTCGAACACTCACCCAAAAGGTCCAAGTCATAGTAGGGTTTCGGGTTTAGGGTGTAGTATATATATATATATATATATGCTCACCCCCCCCCCAAGATCCACGCCTGCCCTGCCCAGGTACTGGCCTAAATACGCTGCGACTGCACCAAAGATTTCGCAGATCCTACATTCTGCGTTTCCTTCATATACACCTTGAGTTTTCCAAGCGACATACATTCGCGTACGGCTTCTTCTCGTGTTGCAAAAGAACGCAAGCTTGCATGCATGTTCTGTGTGTGTATAGGTTTTTGCATGCAGCAGTATGGGCTCTGAAGGTAACACGCAACAGGAAAGCAAAAATATATCATCCCATATAACATAGTATCACGACAAGTATCGATATGAAAAGACGGCCCTATTTCTACACCTCCCATATATATGAGACGCATCGAGATTATAGATAATGTCCGTGAACACGAAATCTATCGATACTTTCAGGGCTCAACACCTTGTATTTCACCAACATAGTACCCTTTAGATTACATTTTAGAACACTTTGCAAAATTCCACTCTCATAACTTTTGTATCTTGTACAAATCCATCTGAATATCCTGTCGCACACCTTATACAAGACCACCTATATATGATACACCCCGCACGCATTCTATTACACATACCCTATAGGACACTCTATACAAGACACTATATAGAATATCTTATAGGATGTCCTGTAGAATATATTCTCTATGTATCTTGAAACCTTTCATATGGAATGCACTGATATAGATTACCCTCATGCATTATTGAATACCCTAGAGCTTCTGATACTTTCAGTCATGGCCCGTATATCTTTTGAATATCCAAAGTACCTTACAGAATACGACATAGAATACCCTACAGAATACCTTATGGAACACATAGTACCCTCTATATATCGCACTCCTCATGGAAGACCGTCTGGAATACTCCAAAGAAGACCTCACAGAATGCCCCTATGGCCCTATATATGACAGTCCATGTATACAGTATATGTACCTTGAACACATATGACACCGCACGCATTATATTACACATACCCTATAGGACACTCTACACGACACTATAGAATATCTTATAGGATGTCCTGTAGAATACTTTCTCTATGTATCTTGAAACCTTTCATATGGAATGCACTGATATAGAATACCCTCATGCCTTATTGAATACCCTAGAGCCTCTGGAATACCTTATCATATGATCAAGCCTCACTACACGAAAGTGTACAAGGTGAAGCTGCCGAACGTCAACTTTCTGAGTGTGAAAAGCGGCACGCAGATAATCGACCGCTTTTTGGGACATTTGCGTAGCTTTTTGAAGCACACAGATCGCACTCCAGGCAACCAGGCCCTCACAAGGAAGATTCGCTCAGCCCAGTTCACCTACTGGTTTCGCTATGGCAACATGTGGAAAGCCACAGGTACCATGCTTGACTTCCTTTGGAACAATAGCTAGGGGAGCTGCCTTGCCTCTGCAAATGCCATCGCAGGCACCATTTTGATTTCGATGCTCCAGCGGTAAGCTGTGAATCGGCACCCAGCGACTCCTCGCGCACAAAACATCGGCCCGAAGCAATCGTGCATCAGTCCTGCTCCACATGGTTTGCCGAGACGTCGGACTCATGTTCGTACTGAAAGTAATTAGATCGTCCACCTCCAACAATCTTTGCCGCAGCATTCACGGTTCCAGCAAGAAACTTAGAGTAGAATGGTACCTGAATTCTGCTTCTCCAAACCCAAATTTTAGGGACAGTACAGCACTTTAGGGCACTGGAGCTTCAATAGTGCTGTACTGTCCCTAAATTTGGCCTCTGCCAAACCCAACTTTTAGGGACAGTACAGCACTTTAGGGCACCTGGGTTTCAAAAGTGCTGTACTGTCCCTAAAATTTGGCTTTCCCAAGCCAAAAGTGCTGTACTGTCCCTAAAAAACCTAAAAAACCTATCCTCCAGAGACTATCGGCTGGGAACGCTTGAAGGTTGCTGGGAGATAGGTTTTTTAGGTTTTTTAGGGACAGTACAGCACTTTTGGCTTGGGAAAGCCAAATATTAGGGACAGTACAGCACTTTAGGGCACTGGAGCTTCAAAAGTGTTGTACTGTCCCTAAATTTGGCCTCTGCCAAACCCAACTTTTAGGGACAGTACAGCACTTTAGGGCACCTGGGTTTCAAAAGTGCTGTACTGTCCCTAAAATTTGGCTTTCCCAAGCCAAAAGTGCTGCACTGTCCTTAAAAAACCTAAAAAACCTATCCTCCAGAGACTATCGGCTGGGAACGCCTGCAGGTTGCTGGGGGATAGGTTTTTTAGGTTTTTTAAGGACAGTACAGCACTTTTCGCTTGGGAAAGCCAAATTTCAGGGACAGTACAGCACTTTGGGGCACTGGAGCTTCAAAAGTGCTGTACTGTCCCTAAATTTGGCCTCTGCCAAACCCAACTTGTAGGGACAGTACAGCACTTTAGGGCACCTGAGCTTCAAAAGTGCTGTGCTGTCCCTAAAATTTGGCTTTCCCAAGCCCAAATGAAAAGGACTGCACAGCACTTTTCAACACTAATGCTTGTAAAATCAGATTGATAGTGACAGCATACTATTGTGCGTAGTGGTATATCAACAAACTTTTCCAAAAATACAAGTTATGTCATGCCTTTGGTTCCTTGGCGGTATTTTGGTGTTGGCAGTCTGCCTCCCACTAAGCCATTGATTTCGGAACCAGATCCTGGTGTGCAAAATGTTCGATGTCAAGAGTTTGTAGACATGCTATGAGCAAAGTAGCTGTTCTACAGAGAAGCCGTTCCCGCTGGTATTTACAGCACGTTCTGCACATGGAGAAGGTAGGTTCGAAACGCTTGGTTATGAGTGAGAGAGAGGAACAGAGAGGGTGTGGATCTTGGGGGGGGGGGGTGACCATATATATATATACTTTTTTTTTTTGGGGGGGGGGTCTGACTAGCAATTAAGTAGCTACTTTATTGGTACTTGGACCATTTGGGTCAGTGAAGACTGACCACTAGCAGAAAAACGGAGCATGAAAACCGTGAGTTCGGCTGTCATTCTGCGCCTCATGAGGACGCTCTCAAAAATACAAAATCCTGAACAAGCCTCAAGCACCGGAAAACAAAACGTGTTGTAGAGGGTCATCTACTTGGCTCAACACCTTGCAGCAGTAACAGCACGACACACGGCACTTACAAGACGGGCAGCAAACTCTGACGTCAAATTTACATGGACTGTCGTGAGCTTTGTAACTTGTGTCTCATGCTCACACTGCAAGTAGAAACGAAGTGCTTGAACATCGGAATGAAGGCCCGTCCTTCTTCCAACTGGGATTCGGCAATGTGCGCAGAACAGAAACTAGATCGGATTTACTCCTTGAATACCTGAGCTTCCCAAACCAGTTAAGAACCGTCCTTGTTGCATCAGCTGCCAGGAGCTCCAAATGTTCTGCGCTGACCGTTACCTCCACCAAGAAAGACTGTTCAAAGGGCCTTGAAGGTTTGGGTTTCGGATTTCTGCAAGTCGTGTGCTATTGGCAGCAGCTCCAGTTGAACAAATCAATTCGATAGCAAGTTAGCAACTTGGCATTTGGTTGTCTTTTCCTGAACGCCGAAACCCACATGCTGGCACCCTATCTAGGGCCCGAAACAACGACTCTGAAACCGTTACTGATGTAGTTTCGGGCAGAGGGCTGAGGTCTACGAGGTGGCTTTGGGCTTCGATAAGGCCTGACATGACCGGGCCTTTATCTCCACGGACCTGGGTTACGGTTCACCTCGACAAAGCGCAGAATAGGGTTCAACTGGCTTATAGTTTAGAAGAGGAGCCACGGTGGTTGAATTGCCGCAGCAGCGAAAGCGGTAGCGGTGGTGATGTCGGCGGCCGTAGTGGTAACAGTCGCAGTAGCATAGTAGTCGGCGGAGGAAGCAGGGGACGAACACAATTATGCGAGAACGGGAATGGAAGTAACAACAACAACCCATGACAATAACACGAGCGGTTGAGATCACGACAAACATGCCAGCAATAGTATCGGAGTAGGAACAGCGCCACGAGTGGAACTGCAAGAAAACACCAAGTGCTCACGCTCAGCGCCACGATGGAACTGCAAGAACTTACCAAGTGCTCACCCTCTAGTCTGTGGATCCGAGAACGAAGCCGTCCCCTGGGATGGACTATTAGGGGCCCGCCCATTTACAACTACCGATGAACCTCCAAGTGTTCCCCGACTCAAGGAGTGGTACAGGAGTGGTACAAGGAGTGCCTGGTGAAACTCTGCTCGCGCGCCGGGCAGGTATGGGGGCTGTGGCTCATTCGGAAGCTCTGGG